CCTTTTTAGAAGCAGCCTTCTTTGGGGCAGCCTTCTTGGGAGTAGCTTTCTTGGGAGCGGCTTTTTTGGGAGCAGCCTTCTTTGGGGCAGCCTTTTTAGGAGCAGCTTTCTTGGGAGCAGCCTTTTTGACGGCGGCAGCAGCCTTCTTTGCTGGGGCAGCGACCTTCTTGAGGAGGCCGCCGAGCTTCCGGGCTTCTATGTGTGGTTCATTGGGCTCGCTGATGGAGCGAATGAACGCATCGGTCTCTTCGCGGGGCTTAATTTCGAGGTCATAATCGCGAGCCTTTATCAAATAATTGATATTGTCGGCGTCATTGCGAATACTCAGGTCATTAGAGCCACCAGAGATGGCCGTAACACTGAGAAGGAAAAAGGGAGCTATCAGCAAGGGATGCTTAAAGAGAATCATTCTGAGGAAGGAGGAGGAGGAGGAAAAGAAAAGAAAGAAGGAAAGAAGGAAAGAAAAGAAAATGAAAGAAGACTTGAGATTATTTTGTTGTCCTAGTTGTTAGAGACCGCAGAACACAATAAGGAAGGGAATGCCATCTTCTATATATGCAAGCGGCCATGAATCTATTTGAGCATGTATGAACCACGAGCACTACAGCCCTATACCATAGCATTCCGTCTCTCGTCGACGTTGCCATGAAGCTATAATTGGATCGTTTCCTCATAGTAACATAAGTTTTCCCCATCCCAGAGGCCTGTCCAAGGACCACCCCTATGTCAGAGATAAATATAGGATAATATAGCCACTTATTTAAGTGTGGTCAAAATATCAGGATTTTAAGGGTCTTTGGTGCACCTTGCAAGACCCGAAAATACGTGCATAAGGCCCTTCGTGTGATATTGGATCCTTAGTTCAAGGGTGAGTGCGCCAATAATACAAAAGTACATTGCCTTGCAATAAACAGGATTCCCATAGACAGAATGATTACCTACGAGAATCTAAAAAAGGAGTTGATGGAGGGACATTGTACAAAATCACGCCGCCTGACTGCACAAGCTCCGCTGAATATCCTCATCTCCCGACTCAGCTGTCTTTCACCAGCACTCGGATCTAATTTTGTTTACACCACACTCTGGTGGTGACTCTGGTGGTGCCTGAGAGCGTCTCACATCCATCCGAACACAAGAAATCGATGGCCATGGGAGGCATGACGTAAGCAACTTACATCTTTGTTGCATATGTACGAGCCTCAACCGTGTGCTTGGTTCATCAGGCTATTTCTATTTTTCACCCCACAGCTCTCTCCATCCTACAACCCTTGTCACTGTGCTCACTCTGTGTCGAATGATGAAAATGGACTCGGCTAAGGCAGGCCCGGGCTTGTGTGGACTGCCACTCGAAACATTGCAAAACATCGCAGGTTACCTCGCTGACTCGTATCGGCCAAGTCTCTTCGCATTCAGCCTGACAAGTAAAGCTTGCCATCAAGCGAGTACTCTGTTCATCTTTCGTCAGATAAATCTCAAGCTTCGCTCTCGCGAGGCATTGCAGAACGATGTTGGGAGTCTCATCAAGACTCTCTCTCATACCAACTCCGCCCGCCACGTCCACTCCATCAGCCTCAAGGGGGTTCTGGATACCAAGACACGAAATGACGATCTTGGTATGACGAACACCGACCATCTAGGCTGGTGGACTGACCTTCGCGGCAACGAAATTGTACCCCGCCAGGAGACGATCTACTCCGGTGGCTATTTCTCCTATGATGAGTCTGTCGTCGAAAGAGATTCCGACGAGGATACAGCATGGGCCCCAGTTGTCAACTTTATCAGGACACTCCCGTCCCTAGAAAAGCTGGTATATGATTGCCTTGATCAATTTCCGCCCAGCCTCTTATCTGCGCTGCACAAATACCACCCCAAGTGCAAGCTCTATCACATGACACTCCGACTGCACACTCTACTATGGGACGCACCGCATCCTTACGAGATGGCCCTGGCTACATCCCCATGCCTATACGGTGTTAGAGTCATATGTGTTCGTCGAGATTCAGAAGGCGATGATGATTTCAACCAAGAGGCGACGATGGAGCTTGTTGCTGGTCTCGCACCCAACCTCAAGGAAGTCACTCTGATCAATTGTTTCCCGTACCGCGGGCGCAGGTTCACCGACGACCGAGCCCAGTGGAAAGGCCTCCCTGGCTATGTCCCCGGAATGGTCGGGTCTTTGACCTCTCTGTCCCTCTTCCGGTCAGCAGAATATCTCTGGGAGCCAGATTACATCCCGACATGGGCCAAGTTCACCGACTTTGGCTCTCTGCAGCGCCTGACCATTGGCGGACCGAGCGACAGGGGAATCGATGGTGGGACGATGGGCTTGATTGCTCGAAACCATTCCTTCCCTCGGCTAAAGACCCTTTGCGTCTGTCTAGAACGCAACGATCCGCATGGCGTGAGACCCGAGTACGGCGATGACGCTGCTGCCTTCTTCTCAGCATTTGAACCTCTCACGCAGCTCTCAGTATCCGGACCACTTGAACCCAAAATTCTAGACGCCATCCTGCATCGACACGGCCGGACCTTGAAAGAGCTCATGCTATATCCGCGAGAGTGCGAATTCCGCGGAGACGGCGATCGCAACAGGGAAGAAATCCCCATGGTACTCACCAAGGAACACATCCAGCAAATCCAAGCCGAGTGCCCCGCCCTGGAAGACCTGGCCATCCCGGTCAAGCGCATGATGTCCAGCGCGGCCGAGGTCGACATCTACAGGAGCCTCGCCAAGATGTCGCATCTGCGGTCGCTCCTCCTCACCCTGGACTGCTCCGAGTGGCGGGTGAAGCGGGACAGCACCTACGACCCTCCCTTTGACGAGGAAGACAATAGGCCCGGCCAGTTTGGCTACAAGCGGGGCGTCCTGCGGGAGCTCCTGATGAACTGCGCGGTGGACGAGGCGCTGGCCCGGTCGATCTGGGAGACCGCCCGCGGGGAGCGGCTGGAGTCGCTGAAGCTGTGGACGACGGGTGCTGGCCAGTTTGGAACCGGGCAGATCCACATTGCCGAGGATTTCTACACCCACATGAGCCGCTCGTGGCTGATCGAGCGCGTTCCTCGAGACGACAAGGAAGTTATACACATTAGGGAGTTGGGCCGAGCCGAGAGGGAGGCCAAGGATGCATACAGGAGAACGGTAGGGTCCAAGGGCCCAAGGCCGAAGGAGATGGAAGTCTTTCGTCGGATTTGGCCAAGCAAAGAGGGCAGCGAGAGCTGGTACGATGATTGGTCAAGCATTCCTCTACAAGTTTAAATTAAATAGCCAAAATATGGCATCAGAGGCTTTTGTATCCTGAACCATGGCCTTGCTCTGTTGCTTCAAATGATGGGGAGCGCTCGCCGCAGTGTCATCTAAAGAGGCTACCAAGAATTAGCACCCATCCGTAGTACAAAATCGCAAATATGAGCAAGAACAAAGAAATTTGGGCAAAAGGCAATCGTTGCCGGTAGTTTCTGCAGGAGCAGCCTTGAAGGGTGAGGCAAGTTTCCTTCAAGATGCTAGCAAACTAGAAGTAGAAGGTACTCAGGTAAATGTCACCCACTCGAGGGGCCACAAGATGCTGCTCTCAAGCAAGATCAAGCGCAGTGACGAAGACCTTTTGAGAAACCCCCGACACTATTGTATCACAGAGCAGTATGCGAGAAATCACGGCGAGCTTCAAAATCTGAAGGAAAGAATGCTAGTGTTATTCTGCTTGTGTATCTTTACTCGACTCTATGGTTTCTGCCCACCCGCCAAAAACTCCAATAGTGTGTGGATATCGCTTTTCTTCTCTGTCTCTCTCTCTCTTCGTCTCTAAAGTAAAAAGTAAAAAGGGGGGGTTGGGAACATATGTAAGAGGGTGTGAAGATGAACATATGAAAGTGTAGTAAGATGGAGAATGTTACTTTAATTTATGTATCTTTGTTCTGTGTCTTTTTACTACACCCAAATGGGGACTAGGATCGCTGAGTTGCCAGGTTTGTTGTTCTATGACTGCCAGCTCTTCAGCAGACCCAGCAGGTAGTTGCAGAAGGCCTTCCTGTCTACGGAAGTGGTGAGCGATCGGAGGAACTCGTCGCCGTTGATGCCGAGGCTGGGGAAGAGCCCGGCCTGGACGTTCTGGATAAAGACGTCGCCAGTCTTCATGTAGATGGTCTGCTCGAGGCGGGCGAGCTCTGCAAGCACCTGCTTTGACTGGGCATCCTGGGCTGGCCGGAAACTGGGGTTACGCATGACCTCCCAGCAGACGGTGTGGAACCGCTCGAGCATGAACTGGTCGAACCCAGGAATGGCCGGGTTGGGCGGCCCGGTAGGTGCTGTAGGATTCTCGGAGACATTCGCAACGTCGGGCCCGCCCCATATAGCAGAGATGCGTGCCATGACGCTGAAGGCGAGCCGCGCAGGGCCCAGGCCCAGGTTACCCTCCAGGGTTCGCCCAATGTCGGTAACAGAGGTGACGATATTCTCAAAGAATCCCTGGTTCTTCTCGCTGATCAAAACACCATCCAACCCGTTGTTGAGGATGATCTGGATAAAAGACAGATACTCCCGCCTAAGCTCTGCAAGCTGGACCTCATCGTCCGTCCCTATGATAGGTTCAGAGAGACCGCTAAAGATTCTCTCAAGAAGTGGGGTGAGAAGGATGTTGAGAATATCGTAGATTTGTGACTTGAAGCCAAAAACGACTTGGTCCAAGAGTCGGAGGAACATGGCCATCTCGTCCTTTGAAGAACTCTGGGCCAGCAGACCCTCGATCCACTGTGGAAGCTGCGGGAGGACGGCGGGGCCGAGAACGCCCAAAAGTTTGGAGAAGGCAGAACGGCATGCCAATCGGATATCCGCAGAAGCACTCAACTGGCTAAGAGCAATCAAGATGGCATCGGCGGCCCTCGAGAACTCATCCGACACCGCTTGGTTTGGCAGGGGGCCCTGTGGTGTAGTGGCGCTAGGAGACCAGTCTGAGAAGCCGTGGGCCAAGGTTCCCAGTGCCATCACAATGTGGTGGATCTGCAAAACGGCTTGGGCATCGCCAGCCTTTGCTCGAGGGAGGTGGGCCTCCATATCACTAAACAGGGGATCCATCACAGAGCGAACAATGAGTGCCTGCTTCTCTGGCGGCGTACTCTGTGTGGAAGAAATGCAGCCAATCGCCTCGAAGAGGTAGAGCTGGCCAACAAACAGCGCATCCGCTGAGTGATCAGACTCGTCAGAAGACATGTCGTCGTCAGCATCCTCGCCAGGAACTTCAGCTTTGATGGGGAGCAGGTCGGCAATGGATTGAATTATCGTCTCAGCAACGTTGCCAACTTGCGCACGAAGGTGTTTGATAAAGCGATAGAAGAGATACCATGACCGTGTCTTGATGCGAACATAGTCGAGATGGACAAGTCGCACAAAGCTTTCCAGGACTCCGGGGATGTACTGGCCATTGGTTTCGAAAACAACGCAGTATCGTACGCATATTTCCATGTACTGGAGCAGGATTGCAGGATGTTGGAGGTTGGAGATGCCTAAGGGTGAAAAAGACAATGTCAGCAGGGTTGCGCACGGTGCTACTTGACTCGGAATAAATCGTTACCTGACTCGGCCATTTTGCGCATCATGACCACGAGACGCTCAGAAGCCTCGTTAGATGGCTGGTTCTTTGTTCCCAACCCTTGGTTGGGCAGAGCCAGCTCACCAAAGAGATACATCTCGTAAAGCGCCAAATCGAGGTCTCTCCAATCCATCTGCGATCCTTGCTGCTCCAAATTCTGGAATGTGGTCCCCACAAGATTGCTCAGAGTCTCCATATACAAGGGCTGGTCAATGGCGGCAATCGTCTTCTGGAGATTCTGCAGCTTTCGTCGGAGCTCCTGGAACTCTGCCTCGTCCGTCTGTTCATCCTCATTCCCCCAGTTCGCTGTCTCGTCGTATCTCATTTTGCGAATAATGGCATTGAGAATAGGAGGGAGCATCTCAGAATACTCTTGTGGGATTTGCTTGACTTTGCGGAGGAAAGTCAGGAGATCGGTGAGCGCGGGTATCACGGTCGAACAGACCTCGTCGTATTCGTCCGAGAAGAAGCGAAGAAGGAAGGGCAGGAAGCCGTTCAAGAACTGGTTTGCCCTTGTCCTGGTTTCCTCTGCGATCTGGGCGTCCTCGAGAGTCTTGACAATATCGGCCATGACGGTGTTGACCAGGTTGGCCACTTTCTCAGCAAGGTCTGTGTCGTACTGTGAGGAACCTCTGTACTCGCTCAGCGCGGCGCTACTGATCAATTGGCCCACAATCTCCTGCAGGTTCAAGAAAGAAATCATGTCAATCTTGTCGCGAGGCTGCATCTTCTTTCCGCAGATTTGAGTCAGAGTCTCAATTGCGGAATCCCGAACACGATCCTCATTCCCAGCATGTGCCGTCCGCCCAACCAAGGGCAGAAGAAGGCTGAGCATATCTTGGCTGACAACCAGAGAGATGTCCATCCAGCTGACCCATTTCGAAATGACCTTGAGCACAAGATCGACTACGGAGTCCTCGTTGCCGTACTGGACCAACAGCTGCTTCCATGAGTCTGCGACCTTGTAGACATCCTGGGCTCGGAGCTGGTCTTTGAGCTCTGTGTTTCGTTTCGCTTCACCATTTTGGCGAGCCAACAACATGTCGGCAATCTCATCATGGATGGAGCTCAGGATTCGCAGGTAGAATATGACACCCGGGGTGTTCTGAGTATTGCTGGTGAGGCCAGACAGCTCTAGGAAGTCGTCCAGGAAGCTCTGCCAGCCATCCTTGTAGAGGAAGACAAACAGGTATGTGAGCGTTTGGGCAAGCTTGTTCTGCAAGTGGGCAGGATCTGGCTCTTGCTGACGTTCCGACCCATATGTCTGCCGTACGTATTGTAAAAATGTATCTTTTAGATATTGTAAACTGGGGCCGTCGAGACCCTGTGTATGAACGGCATAGTTGACGACCTCGAGACAGACCAAACGCAGGACTTCGGATGACTGGCTCTTGACGAAGAGAGTTGTGCACACTTGCCACCCCTGGGGGTCGGTTCTGAGTTGGTTGAGATATTCGAAGGCTTGCTCTTTCAAGGAGTTGTCGGAGTGGGGGTTCCCCAGGATGCCAACAGCATTCTCGATCTAGATGAAGGGCAGCATGGCTCGTCAGTATTTGACCTGGTTCGCAAACTGGAGGATGGGTGCATGGAGCCATTCGGCACATCAGGGATCGATATGGTGACGAGAGAGGGATCGGTGAGCCCAGTCATGACCCTAGGCAGAAATGGCGGGGCACATGCATCACCAGGCATGTGGGCAGCGACTCACCTGAGCCTCCATATTCAAGGTTGGAGCAAGAAAGCGGCTGGCGGTCGCAACACGAAGAGATTATTCGAACACTAGGGTGCTACCTATCACACTGGCAGCCGTTTGGAGCAGCTGCATACAGCATTCTCGGGATCGAAGGCGGTCTGGAAAGCTAGAGGGGTGCCATGCCTAGCTCACGAGGGGCGGAACTTGGGGAACAAAGGTCTGGCAAGAGTGAATACACGGCGGACCTCGGGTGTGTGACCAATCCGTCCGTTCACTCGTCGCAGGTTCTATCCGTCGGTAGAAATAGGTTGTCGCCGTCGCCGTAGTCGCCGTAATGCGGGTTTATCTGTCTCTCTGCAAAATTTCCAAAAATTCGATTCGGTGCGATAATGGTGGTCTTGTGTTGATGTGGGGTTGGTGACTGGACATGTGTGTGGTCTTGGATCCAAGGTGGAGAAGGCCGACGAACGGAAGATTCTCGGGTTATAATTTTCCAGAGTTTGCTGCAGAACGCAGGACTGATAAGATAAGCCGAAGTTCCTTTCTAGAACAAACCTTGGAAGGGTATTAATTACCTAGGTAATATGGTCCGAGACAGGCACCATCATCAAGGTTATGGATCTTGTCCTCCTCAATTGACAACAGCTCTCAGTGATAATGAAGTAAAGAAAAAAATTTGTTCAAATATTGATTTTATGGTGGTTTCTCTTGATATTCTACCCGCGGCTAATGACATTTGTTTTGTTGTGTGATGTTTTATCTCATCCAAACCACACCCAGGATTACAAGAGGAATATCGATTCGAAGAGTCAACTCATATCAGCTGGAGCATCACACGCAAACCAACTCAATGCAAAGATTCGAAATTGGTAAATGAACACACGGCGACTTACAAACAGGATTCCCGAGGAGGCCTTCGCGAATTAACTTGCATCTTTCTCAATACATGAACTTTTAATTGGTTGAGGTAGGCATCCACAGGGTAAGCTACTGTCCTACTTACCCTATTGCTTCCTCAGCCCAAGAGTTGCCCTCATGCATGTCCCATCAAACAATTCATTTCAAGATCCGAACAAGCTCACATGAAGCCTTATTTTCACACTGGGGGCGAGCAGAGTAACTCATTCACACTTTCCTGGATCAATTCTGCCAATTTAGCTTTCAGTTTCACCAGAGGGCAAGTCGAGACCGTCTAGAGCCATAGAGACCAAGCAGCTGGTAATGCTAAGTCTGATTGAGTCCAAGGTGGTGTGGACCAACCTTGCAGCCAACAGCCCTTCTTCAGCAGTTTTTACCTGGGCTATGTGCAAATGGATGGCTGGTGACACGGACAAATTTATTGGGCATCAAGATGTATCAAGCACACATGTTTGAGTCAGATTACTCGGACGACTTATGCTTCAATCACGCAGATGTAACGTGCAGCGAGCTGGGAGCATGGAAGCGCTGGACAAGTCAAATCGTCCCAATGAAACATTACACACGAGCCAGAATGGGTGCGCCACCGAGCCTTTTGCTCCTGTGGCTATTTAATGCGGGGTGTCCTGCCACGGCTGGGGCCTGCCGCTTCCAGAGATGTGAAACAGACCCAGGGAGATGGGACGAATCTGAACACGCGAGAAAATTGAACACCGGGGTCTGGTTCCTGGCCTGGCGGCTGGGAAAGAGACAGTCTTGCGTACCGGCGTGCGATATCCGACTGTGAAAATTCGATTCAAAGACCGACAATTATACTTTTCTGCTCATGCAGTAGAAGTTCTAGGCGGGGTGGACAGAGAAAAAGGATGGCATCGGGGATTGTCACGCCAGGCCTGCATTGGCAGGCTTCAAACGTGAGTTTCAGAAACCCACAAGCTCCCGGATCCCACTTCATGCAGCAAAGGGAAGTAGGACAAGGCCGATTCGACAAGGATCATGCGAATCATGCCGAAAAAAGGAGATGAAAGAAGAGCAGGAATCTGGGCTCGCTTTCGAAGAGCCTGGCAATACTACCTTGACAGCCCAGGATCCCTACTTCATCTCGGTAAGCCCCAACCTGTTCACCAAGAGAATTAGCATGTACAATACAGTGCCGATGGTTTAAGCGCCCAGGAGTCATGTAAGGAGGTCGAGCAAAATGGCTCTAGCCGACCACCCGCCTCTAGATTATATCTGGTGTGGCAGACCGATAATGCGATAGGTCATAGGTGGATAGAATGAACAGCGACCTCCTGGGAGAGGGTGTCCTCGACTTGTCCTCGACCAGAGTCTGCCAAAGGCCGGACGTCATCTAGCTCTGATCACACCCTTGATGCGGAGTGGTGCGACAAGGAGGTGCAGGAAGAGTGGAGGACCCCTGCGCAAGGGTGCTGGTCCGTGAGGCTGGCCGGCCCTGGTTGGCTGGCCCGTCCAGACGCTGGAGATGGTAATGAGGATAGGCAGGATAAGGTACATGACAGCCTGCCATGTGCATAGGTTTCGGGCGAATGAGTTGACTGGGATGGCGGCTCTGAGGGATTAGTCGTCGGTGGCCGGCACCAAGTGCATTTGTTGGTGACGAGGTAACTTGGGCACCTTTCACTTCGTTGTTTGCTGCAATGGTCTAAAAATTCACTCTCCAAGTTGGGTAGGTATGGCAACGGTAGAGTGTGTAAAGTATTACTATCCCTCCTTTCGAAGGTTTGGGCTAGGTTGGCTCGAACCCGGCACTTGGAGGCTTTAGGCGGGTTTAGGTAGGTCCCAGGCAGAGTAAAAAGAGGCAAGAACATCTCTGGTTTGCTCTCCAGATGGTGATTGGCCATGCCCCTGCTGAAGTCTTGGTGACATGGATCAATAATGGATTCTCTTGGGGTCGTGGCTGGTGGTTGGTGCTTCCCCTCAGCGCCACAGCGGGATTACAGTGGGAATTCTCCCTTTTCCAAGTCCCTGCCACTCGATGCTCCCCGGCTCCGAAGAGACAGCGATGGGAACACCCTTGGGATGGCACTCTGACCTGCTCGGTAGGGAAAATTCAGCACTCGATTGCCCATGGATCGAAGCCAAAGCTTGCCACATGGAATATTACAAACCCATCTCCAATTATGTTCCTATTGGGAGCAATCTCCCTTCTGTCGAGGGCAAAGGTACCACCGCTCGTGCTGTTCTCCCGCTCATCCTTGATCGTCGAGTCCGTCTTTGCAGGTGACTACGTACAGTGCCGGCAGATGCCCCGGTATCTTGACCAAGTCATCTGTAAGCGGCTAAGATGTGGCGAGGCCTTTGCCAGTTCCTGCGTTAGTGGCCTCGCAGGTAGGGGGGTGGGCAGGAGGAGATGAGAAGGTAATTGGCTGTCATACTCGATTGATTCATCCTGTGCAGCCGCACGGATCCCTGGAGCATACACACACACACAATGTGTTGTCCCTCTGCCGGAATAGGAACATACGATGAATCGGGGAGGTCTTTGGGCTCCTTCACATTATTTTTACATCTAGCCCATCTCGAAAATAGCATCTCTCAGAACCTTGAGCAAAGAAGGATACGGCATATTCGGGCAGGGCTAATTGCTCATCTTGAGTGAAACGGCCAGCTAACATATATTATTCTGTTGATCATATTGATGCAGCGGGGAAAGCCGTGTTGGCAACCGACGGCTCCAAGAAACTACAGTCCAGAAGGCTCTAACCTAAGCTATTGCCGATCAACTTGCACATCGTAATCTTCACCGTCTCGTTCATGAGCTTGGTGAGCTACCTACTGAAGGAGGCTGGAGCTCGGAGGTTTGGAAAAGAATTGTTTCGGTGAGGCGTGTACCACCGGCCAAGGAAAATATTGGCCTGGCAAGTAGGCTGTTCTTTTGGTGGTCAATATTATCAAGACAGGTCTATGTCTGAAACCTCGGCCAGTGCCGCCCAAAGACGGCTTGGTGGCATCGCAATCATACATGGATACCCATTCACAGCACGCACATCCCAAAGCGCGGAGCCATAATATTCGGGAGGACAGGCGTGTTTCACTTCCTCCTCCCATAATATCCCAAGTCACTCCATCGCCGGCCAAGCCAGCATTCGGCCCTCTTCCACGATGCATTGCCGGCTGGGCGGTGCTCAGACGGCGTCATTCGGCCATTGCGATCAACCAGCTCAGCCTCGTATCGTCCCCTTCTAGAGGCTCTGGGGAGATTGGGGATGCGATCATTCTCTCTTGACCGAATGTCTGGACGTGGGGCAACGGATCCAGGATCGACATGTCGTAGTCAGTCGTCGGCCTCTGGCTCACAGCAGCTTCCCTCGTGCCACTCGGGCTTGGGTCCTGCAGGCCACTCACGTTTTCAAGATGGCAAGTCGTCGGCTGGCGGTCCACCCAGTGCGGCCGAGGAGGCAAAGATCCGCCTCTAGTGCTGGAGCTGGCCATGGGGCGCAATTTCATAAGGGGTGAGGTGGAGCTGGTGGAGGGGTCTGATGTCTGTGGACATGCCGAGGGGTCCAGCTTGGCCCCTGGTGCCGCGCACCCTCCATGTAAGTGCGTGTATGCAACGATAGACGACCCCGATCAAGATGGTATTAAAGCCACCGCCGTCCTCCAGCCATCATGTCCGCCTCTCTTGCCTCTGGTCTGCACAGACAAGTACTTTTCTTCTCTCTCCGAGCCATTTCCACCTCGTTTGACTCGTTCTTTGACCTCGGTCGTCCATTCTTTGAAACCACCAAGTAACTTACACCAGCCTCACCCGCTCACTTATACCACACCCTTTACTTTCCCCTCAACCGTCAAAATGCGTTACGCTCTTACTGCTGTTGTCCTGGCCTCCGGTGCCATGGCTTCCATCGGCCACGGCCCTGACACCTCGACTGCTTACACCACCGACGTCGTCACCGTCACTCACTGTGGCCCCACCGTCACCAACTGCCCGGCCAGTTCTACCCAGGTCATCACCAACACTGTTCCTCTGACCACCTCGACCTTCTACACCAGCATTGTCCACACCATCACTGACTGTGGTCCTTCGGTCACCAACTGCCCTGCCCACAGCACCATCATCTCCACCGAGACTGTCCCTGTGTCGACCACTGTCTGCCCAATTGGCAGCGGCTCTTCTGCTGTCCCCGGCCACTCCACCAAGACCTCCGCGAGCCCCAGTCAGCCTACCTCTTCTCCCGGCGGCCCCAAGCCCAGCAGCAGTGCTGCTCCTAGCAGTGCCGTCCCCAGCAGCGTCAAGCCCAGCAGTGCTGCTCCCTCCAGTGCCGCTCCCAGCAGTGCTAAGCCCAGCAGTGTCGTTCCTACCAGCGCCAAGCCCAGCACTCCCGCTGTCTCGAGCGTGCCCATCAGCCACACCTCTGAGAACAGCCCCCAGCCCGGCAGCAGCAAGCCCGTTGTCTCCAGCGTGCCCATCAGCCACACCTCCCAGAACAGCCCCAACAAGCCTTCCACCACCTCTCTGGCCGGCACCCCCAGCGTCTGCGTCCCCAGCGTTTCCACCACTGCCATCACCAAGAGCTACACCACTGTTCTCACCACCGTCGAGTACGCTACCTTTGACGTTCCTTGCCCCATCTCCACCCCTGCTCAGGAGCCCAGCGCTACCTTCAGCACTCCCCCCATCTCCAGCAACTCTCCCACCGGTGGCAACTCTACGTAAGTGATCCTTCAGATACTTCTCTTATACTAGAGATAATACTAACTGCTCCAACAGCACCACCCAGCCCCCTATCCCCACTGCCGCCGCTGCTGGTCTTGCCGGCTCCTCTCTCTTCGCCGGAGCTGCCGCTCTGGCCGCTCTCGTCCTTGCTTAAATGACTGGATGAAAGAAAAGGGAACTCTAGGCTCCAAAAGCCTCTGGATTACTGTTCATAGCACGACAAACTCTTTTGACGACCACTTTTGAGTGTTTTTCTCACTCCCAGGAGGAGCAGGCCCTTTTGTATTTTGGAACAGGAAGTGTATAAAGTGGAAAGCTTCGGTCTTTCCCCCATCTTGAATGACACACTGGCATATTTTTAGAACTCACGGCAGCCTGGAGCAATTTTTGTTTTGTTTTGTTGTGTTGTGGTGTATTTAATCTTCTTAATGCAGCTGAAGGCGCAAATGATGGGCCACGGTAGACTCAGCCGGTAGCCCTGGATGGGTATTACTGCAGTTCAGAAAATGAAAGAATTATCAAACACTGTGCCATTCCAACTTGCTTTGATGAGATCTAGTGTGATGAGACGGGACGAACTGAGAGGACCCAGATAAGTGGCTGTCAGAACAGGCACTGTAAAGTTATATCGCCAGAATTTATGGTAGTAGTCAGTTACCTAATAATACTTCTTATTATATAATACTAAGTAGGTTGTATTGCCTAATAATTACTCAATAACATATTATTATATCATTATTAACACGAGTCGCGAGGAGACGATCGTATTGATTGATTGAGACGAGATCGGACGGATGGTTGTTGATGGATGACGAGCTTCCCCCCTTAGGGGCCATGGCCACGGCCGGGTTATATACGTCTGGCTGCGTGAATGGCTCCTATTGTCAGAGTTTTTGAGGTGTTGATGCCTGTGCCCAGGTTGAAAGTGTAAGATTTAACCTTTATTCTGTGGAAGGTCTGGGTAGACCGCCAACCGTGTGTACGAAAAAAAACCCTATGTAATAAACCCAATCACGTGTTGTGCCTGATCTTGGGATAACCTTGCTTACGGCCGAAAAAAAAAAAAAAAAAAAAATATCATTATTAACTACTTTCATGAGTATTGTGGCTTGTATTGGAAAGTTAGAGGAGGTCGACTCCCAGTATCTTGCTGTCAATTTTGAGTGCACCAGCCTCTCTTCCCCACCTATACTCTTATGGGTCAGAACAAAAATGAATACTTAGCGAGAAAGTTGGAGGAGGGAAGTATCTCGGAGCCTGGCGACGTGCCTTTGAGGAGTTTTTGTTCTTTCTTTTGCCTGCCATGGTTGGAGTTAAGGGGAAGAATGAGAGAAAGAATGAAGATAGAGCGAATCATTTTGTAAACTTCAACTTAGGCCCTAAATTCCTTTGCAGTCCATTTTATTCTGACGCTCACTTGCCACTAGATTTGTACGGGGCAGAAAATCGGGGTGTTGTTGAACTTCACGTCATCGAATGTAATGATGAAACTAGGGTTATTGGGGAGATATTTCGGTGGCCAAGGGATAGTCTTGAAGGATTGGCAGAGGCGTAATTTGGAGAGGCAGGTCGATATCTAGGTTATGTAGCTATTGAAGCTTTGAATCGACTCGCATCCGGCCTAAGGAGCCTTCCAACATTGGGTATAATCGGACATGATGGATCTGAGGTCGGATCTGTTTTACCGTTGTCCCCCAACCTGTACAAATACCATGAGAACCGCAGCATATCTATAGAACCGTATTATCAGTAGATGTTTGACATCGTTATGAGGAAAGGTCAAAACTCACGCGGCTGTGGCGCCCAGAGCCTCGAAAGGTTTCGTGTACATCGCAAGAGACAGAATGAGAAGGAACACAAATACGTATACAGTAATGACAGCAAGCTTGTGTCGAATTCCATTGAGAGCTTCGAGGATCCATATCGGTGTGATGAGCATCACTATACCAATTATGAGAAGGATAGCGGACGTGAAACGGTCCATCCGCTTGTTGGAGTAGTAGGATATATGTTCCGCATCGTATTCTGGCGCCTTTACATCTTTGTTCCTCCATATTGTTAATGTGCGTAGCCAATGTGACTTGTCAAGCAGGCGCCGTAGTGGTGTTTTGTCCCTGGTCACTGGGCAGATTAAATCATCATGAGCCAGATATTTCCACTCTTCTTCAAAAATAGCATCCTTGTCATGATTGTGATGCCAGTTGTGGAGGTTTTTTATGTCTCGTTTTGGAGCAGGGTCGAGCTGGTGCAATTTTGCCTGCTGAAGGACGAACTCATCTGTAGAATTGTTAGGCCAGTGCAGTGAGCTGTTCTTTTCCGAGTCTCGTACTATATAGTGGCAAACATTTTGTAATTTTCTCAACGACAGCTTTGCGGTCTCTCTGGTCGTGCCTTAGAGAGCCATTATGCACATCTACATGGCTCTTCATGCTATACTTCTTATCTAAAGCCGCAAGCTCCTCCTCCAAGGATGAGATATCATCCTGAAGAGCCAGGGCTATCCTGACGTTTAGAGTACTGAAGCGCCTTAGAATGAAGAAGTCGCTGTCCGAAGCAATGAATTTCGAGTAGCCATCATACCCGACGTACTTCCAAGGCTTATCCAGGATCTCTGTCTTGGTGGGCTGTGATTCATCCTCATTGGTCCTGGGAACATGTAGGCTGTCGGCATTCTGGCTGCGTGGGGCTTCTATAGAGCCTGTCGTCCTCCTAGAGGGATGGGGGGACATTTCCAAGTCGACGTCAGCCACTGGAGAAGACATTTCCTAAATATAGATTGCTCCTGATGTAGATGTAATAAAAAGGGAAAGCGCAAAATACTGGTGTGAGTTATCGCCTCGAGTATGTGTTGGCGCCTGCTACGTTCCCGTGGCGCTTGGGGAGATTGCACCTTGGCTTTATATAGAAGTTGGTTCGCAAGGTCCGCATGAGACACATGGGAAGCCTACATATGCTCAGCCGCATCGAGTGAATCTGCCTTGGGCCGCGACCTGCGGGCCGCGACCAGCTGACCGGAGCGGAGGGCTGAATCCCAACGCCCTACTTAAGATCATCACTCGCGAACTCTTTCCGCAACATCTTGTCTCCCCATCCTTCTCTCACCATCTCACTTTTAATGGGCTTAATACTGTGTCTTGAGATAGTTGTTGAGAAAACCAACTCCTAAAGCCGGCCCTCATTGTGCTTGCTGCGTATCCCGACGAAACTGCACTTTCCACGTCCAAGAAGCCAAACATTCGCAGATACGAACACATCCCACGTCCAAACGAAAGCATTCGATCTATCGATAGCCAGAAAGGCGGAACTCAAGCAGATATGAGCGGCACAGAGAACCCAGAGAACCCATACTATCAGACCCCAGGAGATGTCAGGAAGAAGAAGGACATAAAAAAGGCCAAAGTGTCACCACTTGCTGGCCTATCGCAGTCAGCTACGTCTTTACATCATTCGGCATTTACATCGACTTACAATCCAACTTCAAATAATTCGGGCAGTGGTAATCGTCCGCCACGTCAGCCTGCTCAAGGCACGAACAAATGCCTAGGCGGTCTGGCTTGTCCAGGCGGCGGCGAAAGCTGTATAGGGCCGGGCTGCCCAGGCTATGCACAATGTCTAGGTGGTGCACAGTGCGCGGGTGGTTCGCCATGTCTAGGTCGTCCACCGTGCCCAGGCGGTTCTCGCTGCCCAGGCGGTCCACTGTGCCCAGGCGGTTAGTTCAACCTAGGCTGAGTTGTCATGAAGCTGTCCAGGTACAATCAAGAATCATCCAGTGAGTCAGAAGTGTCTAGGCGACCCCGGCTGTCTGGATCCAAGCTGCCGAGGCGGCAAGAGGTGCCCATGCCTGAGGCTAACAGCTGGATAGAGGAATACAATAGTTAGGGCATGGCTAAACGGAGATTGCCTCATACAACAGATGGTGACAACGGTTATACACTGCACCTGGACGGCGGTGATTGATACTTGAAATAAAGGCCGAAGTGCACATAAAAGGTTGCTCTATTTATATCACTAGTCTTTTCATTTTCTGAATACAAGTGTTACTGGTTCTTCGATTACCCATATAGGATATTTCCGATATGCTTCCACGGCTTGTGGTGTGGAGTCCACAACCATGCAATGGTTATTGAAAATGCTACTTACAAGGCGCTTTGCTCTGTGATGCAACAGTGTCCTTGGTTTCTCGAGCTACGTCGTTGTGTTTGGTATTACTCGAGAGCATATTCAGAGTAGCTTTGCTCTGTCTAGCATTGGCCAGTGCCAATATAACCACGTCGCTTGAAGGTCGGTTGGCCAAGCGCATAAGTGCCTTATGAAAGGCCGGCTCTGGTAGTTATCAAGGCCCATCTTCGGTAGCAACCCATAATGGTGGCATGGAGGCTCTTATTTAGGTGATTAATCGATTGAAGCCCAACGATGGTTCGAATTTTGAAGCTTTAGTTTTACCTAGGTACGAGCAGGTCATGGGACGTATAAGTCCCTCCTTGTGTCCTGAGACGCTGGACATGACCGGAAGCAGCTCGATCACCAACATGTGACATACTTCTTTCTTCGATCCTGCGAGACCGCGATCCTGCAATCTCCTACATTACACTGACAAAAGTTCAATTATTCGTCCTCACCAAGTTTGGTGTTATGCTGTGGTCGGGAGTTTGGAACGACTTACGGATTTAGGAGCGCATTTGCCGCTTTTTGGTTGTTCCAACCATCTTTGCTTGTCCTTTTTATCGTTTGTACCGTGCTTACGCCATTTGAATCAGTACAAGCGCCAGTTTGGCGCTCACACTTCTATAGCAAGCCATCTCCTTAGTAAAAACTTATATCTGCTTCCATAGATTGTGGTTTGAAGTCCAGAATCACGCAGTGGCTATGGAAATAAACTGAAACCCTGCCTATGGTGGCTGACGTTGGCATCATCCTTGAAAGGCAAAAAGAGCGTTCTCTGTGTCTCGTCTCTCGAGGCAACACTGCTGATCAAGCCAAGGATAATCAGAGCAATCTGGGGCTTCATTGTGGTTGATGGTTGGAATAAAAAACGAGAGATCTATTCGTCGGCGAATTTGCTACTCAATACCGGGTCTTGGTCGAGTTTGATATAAGAAGAGGTTCATTGTTAGATTTGGATGAGTCAAGACAGCCTTCTTATATTTATTTCTGGTCTGTTTGGCCCAAATAGACCAAAAATTAATATTAACTCTTCTCCTCAAAAAGAACTTCACCTCAAACGATATTATTGGTATCTTGATACAGTTGGTTGTCTAGATTTACTCGGCATACTGCAAGGTTCATGATATGTAGTTGGTTCAGTGTTGCATCGAAAAGGCTGAGCTCGGCTAACCCTCTGGGGCTTCATGCAATATTATTTTCCTAAAAATATTCAGCTTGCTTAGCAACAGGGGCTGAGCCGCTGGGAATGGCCATAGAAATGGACCGAAGTTGCACATTGCCGCTGTAAGACTGTGAGGCACCAAGCATACAACCAATGTGTGGTGTCAACAAGCTTGCGACCAACATGTGGGTATCGATTCCTGATATAGGAGCAGAGCATTAATGGTGACTGCGACTGCAGGGACGGTTGTATGCATATGCGGGACAAAGTGGCTGAGTTCCAACCCCCCCCCTCTCTGAATGTATAAAGGCACATTCGATCCACTCTGTGTGAGCAGATGGGCTACCTGTTGCGCTACGATCAGTCAACATTCTTTGCCCAGCGTACATACATTTAACAACCCCAGACGGCCGTTATGTCCTACCGAGAGCTTGCTGACTTCAAGACGCTACTGGAGCGCTACAAGTTACACTCAGTGGGTTTCCGGTCCGAGTTCGACGAAAGGATCCGGAAATGGGCAGAGAATGGAAGTGAGGACATAGCCACCCTGATAAACTTCGATGATGTCACTCGTAGCTACCTTCACACGCAGTGCCTTTTGATTCCTGAAGAACTCAGGCTCCACCAGATCTGGTATGAAGTGATTCAAGTCTTCAAGCATAGAGAGCAAGATCAAGAGAGGCTGGTGATAAAGCTCGTGGCCATGAGAGAGAGACAGTATACTTGCCTCTCTCGCCCCTTGTGGATGGCAGTCCTCGAAACGACTCCTTTTCCGATGGGCGAAGGCTCTGGTCTGAGTTGCCAATCTTCAGTCCGGACCTGATTGAGGAATACACCACGCACTACTGGGACAAAGCCAGTTACAACGACCCCCAGCGTGGTAATCTGACTGCAGCTATTGGCCTCCTCTTATCCGTTGGCATCTACGACGGCCCGGCTCTTGTTGCCCTCTCGCTGCTCCGTGAAGTTCTTGAGACCGATCGACCGCTGCTTCCAACGAGTGCGGATGCGCATGGCCAGCAAGAGGTCCCCATATCCGTCGAACAGGGGATTATATATATAGAAAATCTTGCATTGTGTGCGCAGAACGCTTTGATTCTCCTAGCCAGCAACAGGTGCGGCGCTGCTACCTCGGTGTCGCACCTGAACTATGCTCATTTCCCGGACCTGTCGGCTCCTGGTGAGCTCGCGATCAGGTCTGGCCTTGTCCCATCTGACTTGCGCGGGTACAGCCCCGGGCGTTGGGCGTTTTGGAGAAAACGTCTCGAGGAGCTGGAGGACTTTGAGGGGTCGACTCTTGCAGAAAGCGACAGGGCCGATAATGGGGGATCGTGGGCAACACTCTCTGACCATGCAGGATTTATTCTCACTGCCATGAGTGCCGCGGAGAAGAGCACCCGGATGCTAGAGGGGTGATGCAAGTCGCTCGGATCAGGTTGAGATGCAATTGATTGGCTGCCGTGAGCAGAATTTATCGTGTATTTCAAACCCCCCCATTATCTGGCTATTCAACCAGGATTGCAAATAACAAACATTGAAATTGGCTTGTGGAAACATGCGCTCGAGCTATCCCAATTGTCTGAATGTACTCGCTACACTCACATAGGCTGTGTGGCTCGCCCTCTCATCGACTTTCATACCCAAATAACTAGTTACAGTCTGCATGCAGATATAAAAGTTAGAACTTCAACGATACTCAGATTAGCGTTGACTCAAATAAGATCACACAAATAAGAGCGACCACGCGGAAGAGCGCGAAATCCCAGATCCATTCAGACATATTGCATCTTTCTTGCTTTGCGAAGACTGCACGCCAGGGAAAAGCGGCAATTACCCCAGAATCTGAGGAGGTCGCCACTACTTATGGCCGTCGACGCACGACGGCCACATAATCTTGTCGAGATCTGGATTATCACTCTTGAAAAAGTGCAAAGGCCCGTGTATCAAGCTAATCATCCTTCACACCCCACCAGGCGAATTCCTGCTTCTTATTTCCTCGGCTGGTAGCTCTCGCGCCGGAGTCTCGTTGGCGGGTTTCTCAGCTGTCGGGGCATGGAGAGCAAACGAGCCTTCCATCTCATGGATTTCCCCTCCGGTCGTCTCAGAGAGCGGTTTTGGAATGCAGTCGGAGTGGAGTTGGGCCTTTTCAAAGGGTTCCGGGTCCGCATCGGCGTCGCCCAAATTATTCTTCTTCCGAGTTCGGCGTCGACGCCAGAAGAGTAGCCCGGCGATTATAACAACGGCTAGGCCGACGAGGCTGCCGGCGATGGGGCCAGCGAGGTGAGCTTCAAGAAAAGTAGATCAGTTAGTAAAGCGCTGGGTACTCGTGTATATGTGTCATGTGTGTGCGAGGGACATACTCTTAGAGCCTTGGCCCGAGTCCGCTGCTTCGGGGGATGCACTTGGGCTGCTGCCTAGCCCATTAGTGTTTGAAGGGTGCTCGTTGATGCTTGTTGGTGACGGCGAGGCTGTACCAGATGGGTTGAGGATCGTGGTGATGTATATGGTGATGACGTGGGCCGGACTGCTTGTTGTAGCGGTGGTCGGATTAGTACCGCTGCAATAATTCAAGAACTGGCCGAATTCAGGCATAACAATATCCTGCGGAGTCGTCTGCGATTCGCCAATGTTGTCGGCGATGCATCGCACGCACGCATTGTATCCCTCGATGAACCCTCCAGCCGGGTCGCATAGCTCATCAGACTTTCCGAGTGATGAAGCAAGGATATAGGCATTATCTGTGGAATTGAAATGCGAAAACCAGTTAATGCGTGTTTACAAGAAGAGGCAAGGTTCACGAACTGCATTTTGAATAGCAGACTGCGGGAGCTGTCTCCAAGCCCATGGTGTGACGTAAATGAGGACCAAAAGTAATGATCAAACCTGAGCATCCTGTAGCTAAGCTAAAAGAGGGGGACGTTGCATTTTTATACACCCAGCTGGCCATTTATGTGTAGCCCAAGCGCTTTATGCTTGGTAGGACAACTTGAAGTTTCATTGGTTTATGCAAGAGACACGGAGTATGTGGTATTTCTCCCAAAGCAGAGGCCCCCAACTTGAACTTGCATGCCCGCCGGTCAATACAATTAACGGGCAGCATTGGGAATCAATCCGTTCAGGATGGAAGGCGGAGGCTATCTCTAAAAAAAGACTGGATGCCACCTGCTTACAACAGTCTCAAGCTAAGGTACTCCAGAAAGGCAGGCAACTACTTCGTCGACCTTGTGATGTTTGGGCAGCCTCCAGAGCCATGATGTTGGTCGAACTGGTATAGAATGTCTGCTGCGTAATCTCAATGGCTGTATTTACTTCCCTGCTGCCCCTTTGCCGACCAATTGTACAGGCGCCCTGGAGACACCAAAGCCTTGCCATCAAAAAGAGCTCTTGGTTAGTCTCGGTTCAGATACACGGGCCCAAAAACACACCGGGCCAAATATATTACAACGATTGCTTCATCATTGCTTTTCGGAGCACATATACTAGGGATATACCGTAACTATCCTGGAATCTTGGGTAGTTCCTTCGAGGCCATCGCTACTTCCCCTTCCTTCGACGCCTTCGACGCGCAGGCGGGCTCTTTCCTCGCTGGCAGGTACTGTTGACCCACTTTCGCCTACCAAGCCAATGGGTCAAAGTAAACTATGGTCCGTGCACCAACAAGGCCAGGCAAGTGGGCAGAACAACAGGGACTGTTTGAACCCCAGCTTTTCAATACAGGCCACGATATTAACAGACAAGAGTCTATGATGATAAATTTTCGAGTAATTGTTAGAAAGTATTATATACTATTGCACAGTAGGAAGTATTATTAAAGGACTGACTGCCACGATAATTCTGTCAAGGTGACTTTGCACTCCCTCTTTTTCTGACAGGCACTTGCCATTGTTCAGTCGTGCACGGACCATGCGATGCTGAGGCTCTGTTCACCCTGTTCTCACCTTCCTTCCATAATTTTGGTCAAAGTGACTGCCTGCTAAGAGAGAAAATATAAGATCTCCTCTGCCATCCTGACTTTTGTTTTTTTCTCCTCTTTTCATCCCCATGAACATCATAACCCTGCCTTGCATCGTCTTGGCGCACATTCCTGTCTTCCAGCGTCTCACATTTCCATTCTCATCCCTCGTAATCCTCTTCCTTTGTACTACCATCAATATCCTTTGATACTACCGCGCCTATAATGGATCAACTTGACGCTGCCGCTCGATTTATCGATACGGCTCTTGATGTGAATATTCACTTGACAGACTCAGTCACTAAGGCTTACTGACGTGTTTTTTTAGACACACCAACGAGAGAACAATCTATCCGGTGACTGTGCACGCAGGATGGACGAAATTCGTGCGGTAAGTTTTTTTGTGATTGTATGTTTGAGAGTAAATTCTAACCATCTCTACTCCTAGTCAATACAAAACACCTTGGATGCAGAATTCCCTCGGTGTGCTGTTATCCAGGCAGAGCGGCATCCACTTTCTTCTATGGCTCGGTGCCGGTCCCATGGCACCCACTTGCTATCCGCTGAGGCCTGCGAGATGGCCATTCATGCAGTTCCGTTTCGGTCGGCAATGGGTCCCGAATGTGAGGACCAAATTTGGGAGTACCAGTTTCTTCCCCCGTCCGTCGCTTTGATTGCAGATAAAATCAAAGTAACTCCTTGGAATGGCGCTGAGACCATCCTTGCCGTGCCCCGTCGTGTCCTCTGTTTGTCCTGGAGGATGGCTCCTGCGTCGATTGGCAATGCTCTTCAATGAGCACCTGTCCCGGGTGTGCAGAGAACACAGCCTTTGATGGCGGTCGTAATCATATGACGTAAGTCTTGTACCGAGGACTGGCGATTGAGCTATTACTAACTTTTGAGAAGTTGCGTCAACTGCGCCTTCCAGTGGTGTCGTCTCTGTAGAAGTGGCGGGGTGGGTTAGGAAGCCAACCGCCACTTCTGCAGAGACGGATACCGTGCTGAGAGTCCGTTGGTTGAGAGTCCGTTGGGTGAGAGTCCGTTGGGTGAGACTCTCTTGGATGAGAGTCCGGTGGAAACTCTGTTAGATCGCGCCAGGCGATGCAGGCACTACTTTGGCGAACAACGGGGGAGTCGAGAGGAGAGGAGGTGTCAATTATGCAGGGAGGTGCTGAGAACACATATATTTGCCTGCTCAGCAGGTTGTGGTGTCCGATGCTGCCTCCGTTGTAGGCAACGGGAGGGATGGGTCTCCCGTCTCCGTTGAGATGCGAGCAAGTGGTCAAAACAGGCCACGACGATAGACATTAGTGAATAATGACAACCATGATGAATTATTGCGCAATTATTAGGCAAGATTGTCTGCTTATTATTACACAATAGGAAGCATTGTGATGGGACTGACTGCCACAACAATTCTGTCAATGTGACTTTGTAAGGTAGTCAGTGTCTGATAGCTACTTGGCTAGGTATCCCGAACACTTACTTGGAGACACGAATCAACAACCGAATCTATCAAGACAATTGCTTCATTATTGTTTTGCGGAGCACATAAATCATGGAGATGCCACAATCATCCCAGAATCTTTGTATTATTTTCGCTCGCGTCTCTCCACGTGTCGTGAACTCTAACTTTGGAAAATCAATCTCTAACAAGACAAAACAAGCTAAGCAAAAATAAAAGAACAAAACACAGCTCTTTCTTTAAAGAACATAACTACCACCGCCCAGGGCACCCCAGTCACGAACTGGGCGGGCTTCTTCAAGCTCGATGCACCACCAGAGGACATCCTTGGCCTTGTCAGCCTGACCACTCTCCTCATGGGCACGGGCGAGTGCGAACCAAGCATCTGAGTAATTCCAGCTGGTCCCAAGACGTGTTAGGCCAGATAACAGACCATGGGCGCGATCGCGGGCGGCGAGCCGCTCCGCAAGAGGGAGACAAGTTGCCTTGTAAGGCTCAGGGAGGTCATCTTCGTGGGCAAGACATGTCTGGTTGTGCAAAGGGCTGGCGAGGGGCGCCGAGCTTGGTGAACTTGACGTAGTTCCTAGGCCTAGAGGATTGGTTGGAAGAGTTTTGGGGGCAACCTTGCCAGTCTTGGGTGCGGGAGAGGAGGGGTTGAGCAGGACCTCGGTGCCTTCGAGACGTGGAAACGTGGGCACAGGGCGAATCACTTCGCTGTAGACATCCAGTAGAATATTTGACAAACCGACCGTGGCAGCTGGGTGGTTTGGCGAGTATGTGAGTGCCGTCTCGAAATCCGAGCGGCCGTCATAGGGAGCATTTCTTGCCACAGAAAGATGACCATACTGTGCAATCCTGTTAGTAATTGAACCTTTTATTGTAGCTGGGCTCCAAACTCTTACCTCTGCAAAAACATCACCCCACAGATCCTCAATGCTCTTCTTCTCAGCCCAGGCAATACCTTTCATCGTTGACGAGTCGGACGGCTCCCTCTGCTTGTCAGCCTCCAGGCTTTGGACGAGCTTCTTTGCTTCCGTAACGGCACCCTCGCAGTCGTCATAGAGGCTTGCACGGCGATAGAAGCCTGCAATCATCAACCAGACGCCGATCAAAATAGTCGTCCTTTGCACTCTCTCTTTATCACTGGAGAATTGGATCAGAGGTAAGAGATCACCGGATGTATATGTCACATTGGTTGACGACTCTGCGTGCTCAGAAGACTTGGAAACGTTGGAGAGGAACGAATTTAACGTGGGAAGTGGGCGGCCTCGTGATGACGAGGCCGCCGATGCGGACGAAACCTCCCTGTTTATCGACGAGGTTGTGGAAAAGAAGTCGGAGTTGTCATCCGAGGGTGGGGCTGGTTCCTCTTCAACCACCTGCGTTGATACATCTGCCGTGCTGGGTCGTCTGTGCCCACTCATACTCCTGTCTCGCCTCTTGAAGCTGCCTCCTTTAGCAGACTCACTCCTGGGGGCCCGGGTTTGCCCAGTACTTCCCCTGCGAGTTGATGGGGGCTGGTTGTTTTCGGTCACTTGAATAGTTGGGGCCCCTGCGCTGCCGACTGTGCGCGCAGTTGCAGGCCTCGTCGTAGATTTCTCATTGTTCACGGCAGTGTTGCTGACACTTGCCTGTCTTGTTGCTGGCCGAGACTTGTCCCTGCCACCAAAGAAGCTTCCGCGGATACTTCGGAAAGTGCCTGCTGTCTTTGGAGGTTCGTTGACCTTGGAGACGCTGAGGTTACCAAGGGACTGTGGTATAATGTTTCCAAAGAGCCGAGAAAAAAGCGTCAGCAGCTCGTAGCTAGCGTTGACAGCAACCTCAGGGCCCTCAAGTAATTCAACAAGAGAGAGTTGTGTCATCTTCACCTCCAAGATGGACTCCTTCTCTGTGTCGTCCATTTCGTCGACGAGGCCGGTTCGAGATTCAGAGGATTCGAGGTCTTTGAGATGCTCACTCTTGAAATGAGGATCACCCTTTCCGAAAAGCACCGAGGGATCCCTGAATTGCTCGAAAGCGCCTTCACAAGCTCGCGCAGCCAGAATGTAATCTTGCCGGGCGCTAAGAAGCAAGGCCAGTAAATGCCACATTGGTATCAGGGAACGTTCCTGCCAATACGGCCCGTGTAATAAATGATACTGCTCTTCCCTTCCCTTGCTAGTAAGCAGCGCTGTTCTCGCTACCTCGATCGCCGTTGTCAGCTCTCTCCTTTCGGCCAGCAACAGAGCAAGACTGAAGTAGCTCCTAACATCTCTTGATCGGCCGAGCTCCGTTGCTAGAGATCTGCGCAGGCATCTTATAGCTCGTGCTTGAATTTCCGGTCGCGAGGTTGCTTCGTGTGTGGCCCTTGACCAATGTGCTTGGGAAAGCCCAATGGCTTGCCACGAGAGAGCTAGAACGTGTGGTGCAATCGGAGGGTGTAACTCGCTCGGCTGCCCATTTATCATGGTTGGGCTACCGACACTGTCCGAGGATTTGAACTGAGGTAGCCTGGCCAGCCAGTCTTCCAGCTCAGCCCCAAGCTGGCGAGCCTTCTCAATGACATCGTCATTTCCATACCGGCACAACGCAATTATGGCCTGCGATATTGTCTCCAATACCGTTCCATCATCATCCAAACCTGGTTCCGCCTCTCCCGTCTTGTCGACTCGCACCTTGCCCTTCTTGACAATGTCCAGATAGGAGTCGAATGCTTTGAACGCTAGATCAAATTCCGCCACGGCAAGATGGACCACAAATAGGCTGCGTAGAATGGCTGTAGAATGATAGGTCTTCTGTGCAGCATTGTAAAGAACGTCAAGAACACCTCGGGTGAGACTGTTGCGACCCCCTTGCCCAAGGTCCTGTTCGCGCCATCCACGGCCGCTCAGGATAGACCAATTCTTGACAACTAGCTGGACGAAAACCTCGACCTCGGCTCGCTCTTCGTCGGCGCGTGGAAAAGTTGTTTCGGTTAAAAGGAGTGTCTGGTATGCCGCTTCCGCACTCTTAATCTCGACCCGCAGCTGTCCACGAGCTGACATGTCGTTCGAAATCTTGCCCAGGTGTCCAGTGGGATAAGGGAGGTCTTCCGCCAATATCCGGGAAAGAGCCCAATAATACTCATACCAAACTCTGCGTCGTGGCACGGATCCTCTAAATCCATAGCCACCAATAGCAGGAGCTGACATGGTCTCCCAATACTTTGCCCAGGAGCGGAAGCAGGCGATCGAGTTGACCTCATCCAGCAACGTGTCGCCGTCTCTGATCGACTGACTAGCGAGCATACAATACTCAGTAAGGTATAGCTCGGACCAATAACTCAGTTGTTTCCGGGCTCCTTGGCCAGACCATAGACGAGACAGAGCATTTAGCCCAGACAGGAAAGCCGTCAGAGATGCCTTCCTCTGGTCGTCACGGGACAAGCAATTGGCCCTCAAATATGCTGCCTTCAAGGCACACACTGTCGTCCATTCCGATATAGCACCAGCGGGGTCAACATTGATATCCTCGGGTTCCAGACTGCTTGGTAGTTGGGCGAGTGCAAGACTGTAATCGGCCACCACCCAGTGCAACCAACCTGCACACACCTGAGCCTGAAATCTATCCTCGACATGCTGGGTCTCGTTTTCGATGGATTCGAGGAGCTTGGGAAGTATCGTGGCAATGTCGAGATTCACAGCGACTGGGTGACCTGAGGACGACCCTGACTGTCGGGCACTGGTCGAGGCGGCATGTGTTGCATTCGATATCGCGCATTCCGTCTCTGCAGTGATGGCAAGACCTATTTCACATGCCCATTAGGCACCCGCGGAAGGTAGCGGGGAGGTTGAGGAGGGGTTATATATCGTACATGATCGGTCTGGCGCGTGCTTACGGACCTTTCGAACAAGCTCGGGGACCGCACTCCAGCTGCCCTCGCAGCGGGCTATGTCCAGCTGCTGGAGATAATTCGCAGCCTTGGCCTACGTCGCAATTCTGTGAGCATGTGGGTTTCAAGGCGATCGGATGTTGCGCGGTCTGGTGTTGGTGGTTGAACTTACAGACATGTCGCGATTCGAGCTGGTGGACGGTTTTCAAAGTGGCGGGCAACGGCGACTAGAACAAGGCCAAGAGCATGGCTGGCAATGGGGGCTAAGCAGAGAAAAGGGACAAACAATGCAAATCAAGCATCCAGATACACGGGAGCTGCCGCAAAGAATCGCTAGACAGAGAAACGCAGACCAAGCGAGTGGCGGGGTGGTGCAGAGACTGAACAGCTGGCCAGGAACAAGCGCTTGAAGATGCTCCTGAGAATCAATATTTGGTCGTACCTGGCGGCAGGAAGCGACAATGACGGTAAGCCAGAGCTCTCCTTACCCGGGATCCGGCTCCAGCCAATCGCAGCGTGGAGACAAACCCCACCTGCTCCAATAGATCAAGCCTGTTTACTATTCTGCAGATATCCACACACTAATCCTGATTTAGTGGAGAGAGTACTTCCAGAACAGGACGGTTCTCCAGTTTAAAAAAAAGGATATCGCAAAGAAAAAAGTTGGAAGATCATGAAGGACTTCATTTTGCTCGAGTGCTCATATTAAACTATTTACCGACATTGAATGAAGATTTTCGGGAATTTTTTTGTTTCAAATTGACTAGATTTCTGATATCTTCATCGGAGACACTCGATTGTATTATACGGTATAAGATTTATCACGACGAGGCAGCTCATTCGCCCACTGCCATCTCGCCCACTTACTCTCAAGAACTGTCTACCTGGTCATACACGTCGCATGCGGAGGCCTGGTGCTTATATATCATCTTCATAAATGGCGACCGCTCTATCGCCTGACCTTCAGGTCATCTGCAAAAAGCTAGCCTCCAATTCCCCCAACCAGCTGTTACAGTCTCTGCCGTCACTGGTCAACCATGTCCTCCGCAGCAAACAGGCCCTCTCGGCCTCACAGGATCCCAAGTCGAGCAGAAAAGGTGGCAGCTCAGAAATCTCAATGCTTGTCCACAAGCTAAAATCACAAATCACCACCCTTATCCAAAGTCATAACAAGGTGGCCAGGTTCGTTGCCATCAGCCTCATCAAGGCTGCCGTTGATGTGGGCGGATGGGAGGTCCTCCAAGGCTCCGAAACTTGGGTCCGGGAGCTACTTTCTATCATTCAGGTATGCACAGACTCGTATATCGTCCCTAATTAGCCGTCACTGACACAAAATAGAAGGGCGATCCTCTTGCTTCCAAGGAGCTGGCCGTCGCCGCTCTCACAAAGATCTACGTGCTCATCCACCCCTATCAAACCTTGAACAGGGAAATCGCCACAAAGACTATTCCTGCTTTTGCGACTGCCTGTGTTCAGCTACTCAAGTCGGCGGCTAGCGACGACGCATCACTAGATTCATTGAGCACTGCCGAGGTTGTATGCGACGCCCTGTCAACCCTGATTCCACTCTACCCAGCCACACTTCGACCTTCCAGCAGCCAGACCCAGACTGCTGTTAGGAAATTCCTGGCGCCCACGCTGTCCGATGGCATCTTCATCCCAGGTTCCTTGCAACATGCTAGTAGAAGAGTGGTTATTCTACAGCACTTTGTAGCTGCCAAGACCGGAGGCAGCGAAGAATGGCTGAAGACCGTCACATTTGTCATCAACGAGCTTCACTCCACCGCCGACCAAGTTCTTCGAGCGGTAGATGAGGCATGGACACCTGCAGATGGCAGCTCACGGGGCGTGGTTGATCTCGAATCGGAACCTCACGGAGGCGGCACGGCACCAAATCTCACACCCTGGACCGGCATCCAAGCTGGAACACAGCGGATAATCGGATTGCTTCAATACATCTCAGACTGTCTACGGTCCCCGACCAAGGGTCAGGTTGCTGTACCTCTGGCTAAAATCATGGATGCAGCTTCTCGACTCTGTCTGGTCGCCCGACTATCGCCAAAGACTCAGTCATGGGACCAATCTATCCAAACTAGAGCAGCAATTGGTCGAGACGAAAAGGAAGAGCTGTGGAGTGCGATACCAGATATCCACGTTGCGGTCCTCCAGGTGTTCCGGGTATTAATCCAGAGATTTGAAAAGGATACCCTTCCACTGGTTCCGGAAATCCTGGATCACATTATTCGTGTCTTCAACTCTGCTACCGATAACGGGGTTATTCGCACCGCCGCCTATCAAACCTTGAAGGATGCTTTAAGCATTGCTGGGCCAACTCTCTCTAGGCCTACGGTGGACATGCTCGGCCCCATCATTAGCGGATGTTGCCGGGACCTCCAAGAAGACTCGGGGCATTTGAAGCAGCCCAACAAACAAGCGAGCAATAGTGGAGAGACCAAAAAGAACGGCATATCGGTCAACGCCGACCTCTTCCTCCAGAAACCTCAGGACTCCGCGGGGCCCCAATCCGTTCCTCTGAACCCTCGTCACAAGGTGGCCGCGTCGGCCCTTCTAGCATCATTGCTGGCCGAGCTCCCCCAGCAGCATCTCAAGCCAAGCTTACGAAGTCTTCTGGACCAGACCGCAATCCTCACGAAGGACCGGGACGCCATGCTGGCAAGCGTTCTCAATCCTTACCTGGATCCCAAGGGGCGCAGGTACGCCAGCCTCTTGCCTCACTTGACGCAACAGTATCCCCAAGACCCCGCTCTTGATATTCTCCGTACGAATCTCCGGACGGACGTTGGAGCTCCCGTGGTCGACCAGACAACACTCGATGAGGAGGACGAGGCCGTAGACGATGCGGACGAAGACATGGCCGAGAATGAAAACGAGGCGGACAACGACATGAGCATGGATGTGGACGAGAAGACGACCGAGGGCGACGCCAAATCCTCGGGTCTCCCCGCAGGCGCGCAAATCAACAGGGAGCTTCCCGTACAGAGCAACCCATTCAGTGTATCAAAGACAGAGAAGCCCGCCGTGGCCTCGTCCAACGCCTTTGGGGACGTCAGACCACGAGCTGCCTCCCCCCCAAAGAGAAAGCACGAAGGCCCCAGCCCGGCAAACACCAAGAGGCGGGAACTGCAGGATAGAGGGGATCTGTCAAAACCAGCCCCAGCTGCGCCGGCAGAGGTGGCTGACGATGACGATGACGACAGCGACGAAAGCGTGCACCTGAACATGGAGCTTGAGGACGATGATGAGGACGAGGACGAAGACGAGTAATGTATAGCATTGATGCAGCTGGCTGGGCATCACATCTCTAGTTTAAAAGTAGTAGTAAGCATATTCAGTCACAAGCCAATTCTGGTCTAGCACGTTAAATATAATCCTATCCAAATGGCCAAAAAGCAAAGCAAATCTCAGTCCAGACTACCGCCTTCAAAAAAAAATAAACGCCATCCGATGATTTCACCCTTTTATGCGGGTGCCCTGGCGTCTGCCCATACCGTCAAGGAAAGAAGAGAAGGGAGAGAACTACCCCCTCCAGAAGGCGAACAGGGTGTGGGCTAATCCCGCAGCCAGGCTCTACGCTTCTCTTCTTTCCTGGCCTTTCTCTTCTCTTTGAACGCCTTGAGTTCCGACTTTGAAGGCTTTTTATTAGATCGTTCAGCCTTTAAACTGCGACCATCATGGGCATTTGCTGCAGCATCGACATCGAAGAAGGCATTCATCTGCCGCCTGGACTTGGCCTCATCAGTATGCCTGTTGGGGCCCGCCTCGTCAGACTGGAATTGTCCAGTGAAGCGGTTGAAGTTGCCAGTTGAGCCATATGGATCTGCCATGTTCATATTGGAGCCAGCGGCATCGAGGCCCTCCTCCCCATCCTCTTCCTGGTATCCCTTTGCATACCACGCATTTGGGTCGTAGTCACCATGGATCGCCGGGTTATAGCCACCTGCTACGGGTGCCTCTGAGGTGGGAGGCCGAGGCTCGCTGGCAGCCTGCATCGCATTCTGGTCCGGAACGCGTGGATTATCCCACTGGCTCTTTCCAGTGAAGCGATTATAGAAGAACCACGCCGACGTGTTCGCGTCCCATTGGCAATCCCATCCATCGTCTTCCGTTTGGGGCACAGGTTCGCTAGGCAATGGAGGTCCATCTGGGACGGCTTCGTTCGGCAGGGGAGGCTGGTCCGGAACATCTTCATCTGGGAGCGGAGGCGCGGACTCTGCGTCTGCGGTGGCTGCCGCGGGAGTCTCGTCGACAGAGTCCTTGCTTAGCTCGGCGCGGGGCGATTCTGACGGTTTGGAGGCATCCGGCGCCTTTTCGCTGTCGCCTAGTTCATTATTCTTACTGGGCGACTGCGTTGGCGATGCAGGTTTTCGAGGAGCCGCTGGCGGGCTCGAGGGAGACGACATGGCGCAGGATGTAAACGAATTGATGCCAGGAAGGATAATTCACCGGAAACACTGATCACCTGCAACTGTGAGTCTCTTGCGAAGGTCTGGACATTGTTATGATACTTATGCACCTGTGGTTTTAGCATCAAATACAATGGCTAGCAGAATGCTCAAAGCCGTCAGCGCACCTTGAAGGTAGATGGCTAAGGTATTGTCCTTTGACTCGACGCATGTCCAGAAGAAAGAGAGCTTCCTTGTGATGAATGGGTCCAAATATGGCTATCTCCCAATCGGGGTTAGGCGCTGGAACTCCGAGCGAGGTGGCATATGAAAGTCACGTGAATGAGTCCCGCTCCATCTCCCCTCCCTCAGCTTCTCAACCTCTCGCAAGCCACTCAATCTGCAGCTTACGCCTCGAACTTGCTGGCATTTGTCGCCCAAAATAGAAGATGTGTATCACGAGTGGCCCAGATCGCCCGCCCAGACCTTGGGAGCAGACGCGTCTGTGAAGCCCGACATGCGATTATGGTGGTTCATAAAGGCGCCTAGTCGCATACGCCGTGACTCAGATGTTTGATGATCTCTTTGTGATACGATACCTGTTCCCAATAGGATACACTGCCCATCGAATATGCTTCTCTGGATAGTCTTCCCAGTGATCGTGAAGCAATGCTCTGCTCAGGTCACCGTTGTCAATAGCTCCACGTGCGGCTGCTTCTTAACCAATGGGTCGACGCCAACGTACTACTCGGACCGGATCTTCTTCGACTTCAGACAATTGTCACAGTTTTCCGGTGTTCCTGATCTTCTCAAAGGAATTTCTGAGACAACTAAAGCAATGGCCAGCAGCGATTATTTCTCAAGTACGGATTGGACGGACGTCTGGTCTTTGCAGCGGTGGTCGAACAAAATCGGGAAAGGTGACGAGCTGAGAGGGGATGCCTCCTACCTGATGCTCAATACGTTGAATAATGTTTACATTGAGAAGAACAATGGCGAGAACTCCTCATCAGACACATTCTTAACCTTGCGGACAAGCCGCCAGAATGCCTTCCAGTCCGTAGCTGAGTTTCAAACTGCCGAGGCTAATTACAAGTACCTGTCTATCCGGATGCTCTCTCGAACGATTGGAAGCCCTGGCGCATGCACTGCCATGTTCACCTACAGAGACACGGGCGATGGATCCAAGGTCCAAGAAGCAGATATTGAAATGCTCACGAGCGGGCCCAAGAACAGGATTCAGTATACGAACCAGCCATCCTACAACGAGAACGAGACATTCCCAGAAGCCACGAGAAACGGCACGCTGCCCAATGGCATTCTGTTTTCCGACTGGGTCGTGCATCGTCTTGATTGGACTCCGGACCGAAGCGTCTGGTATGTCGATGGGCAGGAGACTGCCAACATCAAGTTCCAAACACCACGCGATGCGTCTCGGGTCCATTTCAACACATGGAGCAACGGCGGATCCTGGACTGGGAAAATGCTAGTGGGTGGTGAGGCGTTCATGCAGATTCAATGGATCGAGATGGTCTACAACACGACCACCGAGAATGTCATGAGTGACAAGGAGCGGAGGTGGGCTCCTGGTGGCGTCCTATCGGAACGAGGAGCCACTGGTCATCATTGTCAGGTGGTTTGCAGCATTGACGAAAGTAATACAGCAGGTGAGATTGCCTTGTTGTGGGACAGTGAGGCGGCACATATGTTCGCGCACCAAGGTCTTTGGAGATGGTCTACATTGACTTTGCCGGTTTGGAGTCTTGTCACCATATCTCTTGTCATATGAACATTTACGTCCGATACGTGGAATAGTTGCCTCAAGTTACCTGCCAACCCCTTCATCAATCTCGATAATAGCTGTACTGGCGTAATTGGACTCTAGGGTGGTGCGATGAATCGTGGACTCGACCCCCTACCCTGGAGACAAACGACTTCGGAATCGGGGTGTTGAAGGTCATGAAGCAGGTCAGACTAGGCCGAATTTGCGTTGCATTGCAGCTGTAAAACCTCCGGTCCTCGTCTAGGCATTACACGGACCCATGCGTTTCACAAAGATCGATATACGGCGAGCTGCATGTGGTCTATATTCCAGGCAGGACAGGACACAATTCTACAAGGCGCGGGCGACATGGGTCATTTTTCGGGCATCTTTCGGCCCGCGATCGTAGCAAGGCGACAATGCATCAGAAGGCCCGAGAGCCGAAACTGGCACTCGGGCAGGTTCCGAAAAACGTGAGACACCAAAAAAGCCGCGTCCAGGCCTTGAGTGTAAGCAATGGATGCTGCGTTCTCTCTCTGATGGATGACGAGAACAGATGACAAGCTGGTGTATCCTGCACGATCCCGTTTTGTACTGACGCTACATAGATGTCGATGGCTTGGTGTAAAAGAGTGATGCCGCTATCTTGACACCAGGAACCCATCGGTAGAATCTGAACAATGTTGATGGGATCGATAACCGGACGGGATGCATGAAGCCGCCATTGGCCAAAGCGTTGGTGCGACGCTGGAAGGCAACAAAGCTTCTAGAACTCGGGCGTAGAGAAGTGGATCAACAGAGCCCTAGTCAGCGCGGACCAGCGACAAGGGTGATGAGAGTGACGCCATGGCTCACAGGTTGTGGCCTGTTGCTGTACATAGTACGCTGGAAGCAATTGCCATGTCCCTGGACGTACGCAAAGCAGGCATTCTCCTTTCTTTCCTATCCATTCTTAACCCGGGTAGAATACCACGCTGAATGGCACCAGCACCTGGCAACACTGGGGGTGAAACTGGAGAGACAGGATAGCATGATGCGGAGTCTTAAGCCCAATCCAGGAGTTAAGACGCAATGACGCTGTCCCTGAGAATGGGCCACAAGGGTACTTTGGTGGGCCCGCGGAAGTGCGCAATTCAGATTCTCTGTCCATCACCCGACGTTATTCGTGGTCACTATTGGTGCGAGCGAGTCGGCTGCTTCGGCGTGCGGCTGAAGAGTTTTCACCAGGCGGTCGCGATGATTGGATGGTAGCGTCCCCAGCGTCTGCTCATAGAGCGGTGCGACACGAGCGGTGCGACACATGCTGTGCCTACTTTAGGTGTCCGGTGAAGCATCAGTATGAGAGCAGCCCGTATGGTTCGTACCTTTGCATTTAGGTTGATCTACCCCAGCCGAAGCTGCAAAGTAAGGTAATCGCCATGCACGAACTGTACAAAATGTGGAGGTATTACCTAACATCCGTTCTTATGGAAAAAGAAAAGTAGAGACGGCTGAGGATGGGTTGGGGAGAGCTGCGTGGATGTCAGCGATATCGTCTTGCTGTGTTCTTTTTTTTTTTTATCCCTCCTTCACTCAACAAGCCTAATTCACGACAAGTGCAGAACCATCGTGGGCCCACGAGGTATTAATTACACGGGCGACACTCATAATATTCTCAGGGCAGTAGCGAGTGGCATGCTGCGTTGATTGAGTGGGGGTAGGCACGGGTGTGTATTGCTCTGGATGTGATTAGGGTGTGCCCCCAGTGAGGCTTACCCCAATTGGGACAAGCGTGGCAGAGCTCTCTGGCAAGTCGAGAAAGGGCGCAGTGCCAAAGCTTCAGGCCGGTGATACGAGTTAATGACTGTGGATAGGCCCAGAATGAACAATTAAAAGGTATTGGCAGCCGGAGTTTCGTGTTGACGGCTACCTAGGCTCGCCCGTTAACTCTTGCACGCACGAAAGAGACACGACCGACTCGTCCACCCACAGGCAGCCTTCGAGCGAGGGTAGCGGGAGAGGAGACCACCACACTGCGCGAGAGGGGTGTCTCCAAGATTTTAGGTCAGGTGCTGCGCCGTGACTGGCCCAAGAGAGCCGACCCCTCATTGCAAATTCTTATTACATAAAAGAAGAAGGGCGAGTCCTCATTCACTCAGTCCAACTCTGTTATCTTCCCCAAACAGCCTGCGCCCGCACGAGCACATCAGTCCAAGCAATTTAAAACCTTTGACAAACAGAATTGCAGGCTTATCTCGCACACACGCGCGGGTGCTGTTTCCCTTACGTTTCCCCCCTGCGCCTCTGCATCCCTGATAGGCCCAACAGGCGCGCCCTGGGTAAATTGTGTTGCACCCCGTCATCTTCTGCGCCCGCAACTCATCTTCAACGGGCGCACCAAGACCTCTCTCGACCGTTCAATTCGCAGCACCGACGCCAGTACGTTCCACAGTGACGACGTCACATACGCCTGGACGGAACACCCTGAATTCATTCAATCGATCCTGATTCCCGGAGCCCAGCACCCCGGCCGCCGCCGCCGCCGCCGCCCTGGTTGGTCCCGCTTGCCGGAGGGATGGCCGACAAGATGTCTATCGACAAGACTCAGCACGCTCCGAACGACCACCGTCACCTGCAGCACCAGCAGCTTCACGAGGATAGCGATGATTCCCTTGGTTCCTCTCCAGACGGCGGGCAGGCTACCCCTGCCGCATCCGTGAGCAATGTTGCTGTATCGCTCGCTCCTCAAGATGGTCAACAACCCAAACGCAAGGGTGGCCGCAAGCCCGTGAGTACCTACCACTTCTCTACCCGGTCCTCTCGACCTGCAAATCCGACGTTTCGGTCTGCAAACCCTACAATGTGGTCTTTAAACCCGCCGAGACATTCAAAAACGGGATTCACTTGGGTTCAAATAAGCCCTCAGGGTCCCTGCACCGCCTTCATTGTTTATGCAGATGTTTCTGTTAATGCACTCGTGCTGATATCTACTCCCCAGATCTATGCGACGTCTGAAGAACGCAAACAACGCAACAGACAGGCTCAAGCTGCCTTCCGAGAGCGTCGAACCGAATACATCAAGCAGCTCGAGGAGACTATTCGAGTCCACGAGACGAACTTGCACAGTCTCCAGACTGCACACCGCACTGCTGCCGATGAATGTCTCATGCTGAGATACAAGAACTCTCTACTGGAGCGTATTCTCCTCGAGAAGGGTGAGCCTTTGCTTCCTCATCGCCTCCATTCTTGTCCTGGCCCATAACTGATAAATCTCTCTGCTAGGCATCGATGTCCAGGCTGAACTCCGCGCGAAAACTGGTAGCCCTAACCTGGGGCCTACCCATATGCCTCAGAACCTTGTGCAACCACCCCCTATCCAACGGGCGATTATGAACCGCCACCACCAGTCACGTCGGTCGAATGCAAGCATAGCCCCAAAGGCTGAACCTCCAGTGAGCCTGCCAACGCCCCACAGGACAACAGCCTCTCCAAAGAGCCGCCCAACGCCTCCTTCTCACAGTAGTTCACCCAAGAACCATACCACATCTGGCTTCTCACCTGCTGCATCTGACACAATGTCGATGAGGGGAGGTGTGCATGGCATGTCGCGCCAGCCTATTCACGCGATGCCGCCAACATCGCAACAATCCAGGCACCCTCCTCCGCCACAGGCTCAAGGCGGCCGTCACGGCCCAGCGAACTCTGGAGCATCATATTACCCCACCCCGGCATTCCAAAACCACATTGAGCAGCTTGGTATGTTGATCTACTGACTCACGTTTTGCTGCAACGATTTAACTAATACTGTGTCTAGAGCAAGAATATGATGCCCAAGCTGATATGGTCGACGATTCTGAGATGGATACGCCAGGTGGACCTGGCCCTTACCCTTCAAGCTTCCATCACGAGGCACCCCATGTGCTCTCACCAGCCTCCAACGGGCCAGGGCATCATCACGGACTGCCTCAGCAGCACCACGAACCCCAACACCATGGACAGACGCCGCAGGGACAATATCCTTCCATGACACAACTTCTGGATCAGAACCTCGATTGGGACCCATTCGGGCTGAGTGCCAGCATGGCATTTCCCTCTCAGTCATATACCGTTGACCAGGCCAACATGAGGTGAACGCGCTTGATGAATGTCACTGTCAACACGAATATCTCTGCGTCCAACGAGAGAACCGACTGGGGTTAACTCTAGCTACCCTTCTTCGACTATGCTAAAACACAAATATGTGCATCTTCAAACGCCGCGCCTAGTTTCGGCTACAGTATGACATCGAGGCATCCCCTTGGTGCGTCGAGAGCTTCCGATGGACGCGAGAAAACCTTACCTCAGGCGCTCATCGTGGTATTGGGCCGCTGAGACATATCCAGGCCATCAACACCTTTGGTGCAGGAGCTAGAGCGCCAGCTACCCCCCTGGGCCCGCGCTACTATCGCGACAACTTGAAAAGAACAAAGATCTCCCGTCTTACTCGAAAACAAACCTCATACTTGCTTCATATCCCTTATGAAAATATTAATACTATGCCCGCCTCTCTTCCAATTGAAGCAAGCAGGGCACGCTATTGCCCATCGAAAACATCAAAATTTTGACCTTTATATACTTTCCATGAAGACGACTTGTTGTATGGGAACCTTTGCAGATCTCATCTGCCATGAGCGATGAATGTGAGCAATGAAACGGAGTCGATTTGAAGATAGCACGGAGTCTGTTGGGTTGGAAATGGGTCAATGGTTACGAGCGACTTGTCTTTTTTATACACAGTATATATATACATATATGGGAGGAAAAGTTTATCTTTTTTTACGGTTAATAACGAATCGACTATGACCTTGAATCCCCGCCTCAATTGCACTCAAGACCAGTGAGATTAGGTGAAGAATGCCGATGTTGATGCAGGGTCTCGTGCCACGCTATACTTGCCCACCTATTCATAAGTCTAGTGAAGACTAGTTTCCGGTCCCCGTGCAATAGTACTATGCAGGGTTATAAGTGCAGTGCTGCCCCTGGCGGAATCGACACGGCCTCTGATCATCCGTGCGATGGGCGAGCTTGGACGTTATGGATGATATCATTGTGGTCTCTCTGCTATGCGATGATCTTTGGCCATGTGGGAGACACAATGCCAAAGCTTGCTGGACATCCCCGGTAACAAGCACAGTGTATTCGCATTCAGCCACACGCTCCTCAACGTAGAGAGCACACAGTATCCACACTGTAGCGTTACTTGACCGTCTGTCGGGTCTGCGCTTTCCGCTGTGGGTCTCGCGGGAGCTTGGGCCACCCGAAAAGTAAACAAACAACACCCCCGCCAGTCTCAACGCGAAATTGTCCTTCCATTTCTTTTGACATCATAACCAGCATTCCTGGACCTTACCATCCCTTTCCAACTCCATCCCAGCTGAAGATTACTGCCGGGTTATTCCAATTTGCCAGGTCAAGCGCATCGCACAAGATGTCGCCGCCACGACGCCGTTCCTCTCGGCTTGCCGCTGCTACTCCTAAGGTATGTTTGCTTTGCCGTGATCTCACCTGACCGCCTCGAGTCTTGAACGGGCTTTCGTTGTCTGACCGTGGTCCATTAGGCCAGTAAAGCGACACCAGAGTTGTCGTCTGTCAGCGAACACCATGAACCCGTCCAGACGCCCCGAAGATCCTCGAAGAGATCGCAGCAGCTCGAGCAGAGCACGCCTCAGGCTGCCCCGACCACGCCAGCTTCATCCGCGCTGAAGCCTCCCCATGATGAGATGCACCCCAGCAAGTGCCAGGCATCAATGGCAGCACCGTCCTCGGCCCTGAGGCTTGGCTTTTCCGACATTAAGGCCTCGAGACATGAACAGTCCGGTCTCCCTGGCTGTGCCCAAGGCACACCTACTAAGATTGGCCGGCCCCCATCGTCTGCTTTTACCTTTCGCTTTGTACGCGGCGCGGCGGATATGAAGCTCAGCGAGAATGCTCAGCGTCTCATGGATGAGCTTCGGGAGCAGGCAAACAAGATCAAGGCGGATCTTGTGTCTCAGAGGGAGGCTGGTGGTGGAATCGAGTTTCCAGCCCTTCAGCCTGCTAGTGAGAAGAAGAAGCAGGGTCGCTTTAGTGCCGCCCACGAGGCTGAGTTCAAGAAGATGGACTCGATTGAAAATCACGCGTCTGCCTGGAGAGCTACGCGAACCACACCTGTCAAGCCAAACTTGAAGCGCTCATCATCCAAGGCTGAGCTCGATGCCGCTACTCCTACGTCCGCCAGGTCCAACTTGAAGCGGTCTCAAGCCAAGCCTGAAGCAGTCTCCACCCCTAACACGCGCCCCAAGTCGACTTTGAAGCGCACGGCATCTCGTGCCGACCTGGACGGCGATGACGCCCAATCGAAGAAGAACGATACGGCATCTTCAGCCACCAAGCCTCGCGGCACACCTCGCAATGAGCCTGTTTCTTCCTTCGCTAAGCGAATCAAGAAGCACGTGGAGGATGACGCGTCGGCTGCTCGTCCCGTTTCTCGGGATGATAGCTCTATTCCTCGCCCCAAGTCGAGCGGCCAGGGTTCCACCGTGTCGACCCAGTCTCAATCCAGCCTTTCGAGATTGATGAGCCCTACCAAGTCCTCTCGAGCTCACTTCGGTGACCAGGAGAAGCCTACCATTTCACTTGTCAAGTCGCCTTCGTTTTCCAATCTGAAGGGCACACCTCAACCTGCCACGGCTGCTGGCACCGCCTCGCCCTCTCGGTTTGCAGATGTTCGTCGCCGAATTATCAGCCCCGGCCGCTTCCAGAAGGTCAAGTCAATTCTGCGCAAAAAGAGCTCAGAGCATAGCGAAGGCAAGAGTGCTATCCCGGGTCCCGCGATGCTGATGTCCCAAACCCCAGCGGCTCCCCAGGTTGAGAAAGACCTTCCCGCAGTCCCACTTACGACACCCCGACGCAAGCTGGCCAAGCAGGTGGCCTTTACACCAGAGACGAAGCGGGCTGCCGAGTGTCAAGACTCCCCATCCCCCCAGAAGCCACTTACTTTCCAGGCTCGATTGGCCAAGAAGAAGGCAGAATTGCAACAAGATTTCTCGTCTATTGATGAGATACTGGTTGATTCGACTGCAAGCGAAACTTCTGATGTGGTGTATCCCGACCTATCCGCATTCAAGACGCTTACCGAGTCCGCCGACGAAAAGAAGGCACCGAAGCTCCCCGAGTCTGTTCCTGGAACATTCACATTCCGATCCGACCACACTATCAGTTTCGGAGCCGCTTCATCAACTGGGTTCGGTGCATCTCCTGGCCAGTCTAGCGTGCGCCAGGTCCGAAGCTCTATTGCCCCGAAGGCGACAAGCATGCCTGGCAGCTTTCCAGCTTTGCCTTCCCCTAGCACACATCCTAACAAGGAGAACAGGGCCCCGCCCCCATCAAATGTTATTCTTGGAGCTCCCCATGGGATGTCAAACAAGAAGCGCCACAGGGCAACGTGGGACGAGGAAGATGCAGAGAAGGAAGCTGCGGAACGGGCAGCCAAGAAGGCGAAAAATGAGCATGTTCCTGAAGGCCAAGCTCTGCTTGCCCCTCGCCTGGTTGGAGCTACCCCAGGCAGCGTTAAAAAGACTCAGGTGGGACGTTCGGTGAACAAAACTCCTGGCTCGGCCACCCCAAGCAAGAAGCGTGCTGGCTTGAGCATGAGCCGCCTCAACATGCTTGCTCGACCTAAACACCGGGCCTAGACGAGCTCGTCCCCTTGGTAGTAGTCATTATGTCGTCTGACGCAGCCATGACTTAATGACAAGTGGTGTTTAGGGCGAACATGGCGTTAGCTTTGCGTTGCATATTTTGTTGGGTGGTTGCTCACCGTCTGCTCGTCGTGCATATTGAGCCAACTTGAAAAGCTGCCTATGCAGCAGATTGATTCATTTTTCGGAGTTATGTGTAAATTATTGTATGATTTCGGTTTTCTTTGCATTAGTTCAAAAGGTCACAGAACATGGAGTTTTAAGGAAAATGGAAGGAAACGGTTTCGCGGATTACAGGCGGTACAAAGATTGGAAGTTTGAACAAACAAGAAAGACTAATTATTTTGCGCTTCCCTATTCCTCCTCCGCGTGATCATGCTTCCCCCTCGTGCCTGCCTAAGTGAAAGGCACACATGATTGCATGATCGTCAAGTACCTGTACCCGGTCATGACGTTCTCAAACTCGTCCCCTCAAGCATCTATTTTCAATGGCTCTGGTTTCACTGTGCGACTCTTACTTAGCTTCCCTTCGTTTGTGCTCTCCCTTTTGGCTTTTACACTCCTTTGTCGTCCATCGCTGCAGTCATGACCTCCACCACGTCTGCCAACCTTTTCACATGTACGTTCTGCTTCCGCCTGTCTTCTGGCCCGCCGCAAATCCTGGGCCGCTCTGCCCGTCTCGCCTGCAAGACCTGTTGCACGATCCTGTTGGACCTCTCCATCTACTGGGTGTGCGGGGAGCTCATTTTCCGCGGGGAAGACTGCGTCAGCTTCGGTTGGTGCTTCTGGCACAAGGCCTGCTACGGCTGCTTGCTCTGCGGCAACAGACTCGTCCACCGCGGTGTCAAGATACCCGCGCTCTTTGCGGGAGAGCCTAAACAGAAGAATGGGCGAGGGAAAGAGCTGACAGAGGCGCCCATATGTGCGCCTTGCATGGTGGACTCCGAGGTGGATGGGGTAACCGAGGAGGTCTTGGTCAAAAGAGGACTGAGGCGGGTGGAGAGGTATGATGCCGGGGTGACGAGGAAGAGATGGGAGGAGCGGGAGGGAGAGGCAGGGAGAGACGGTGGTAAAGGGAAAGCAAGAGCCACGAACCTGGAAACAGGGAAGCTGTCACGAGGTTTCGGGATAGATGGGGCTGGTGAAGGCGCATCGCAAGACTCGACTATATGGGTGAATCTTTCCGACCCGATCAATGGGCCGTCTTTTAAACCGAGCCCGCTGAAACCTATTCCTTGGCTCCAGCCGCGAGCTCTACCTACAAGTACGTGGGATCAGGAACTTGGGCTATCTTACAAAGCGAACAGCGAAACTCGAAGCTCTCTACACTCTGATAGCACTCGATCTGGCACTCCCACGATACGGTTCAAACGTTCACCTGGTCTGGATGGCAGAGATGCAATTCTACCAGCGTCGCGGGAAATCCCACCCACAACAACAGCAAGTGAGACCCCTTTTTGGTCTGTGGATTCAAGTGTTGTGAGCTTCAAACGACAGCCCACTGTTGTAAGAGAAGAGCCGCTCCAACGCCCATCATCACGACTGAAACTACGGACACGCGGGTCCGAGACGCTTTGTTCTGCGTATTTGACGCCGCCGGAATTCCCAGATTGCCCAAGCACATCGGAGCTCACGGCCGAGGCGGTGTCATCGTCGCCCTCGACAGACCTAGCCACAGCTAAGATCATTACACGATTGACCCAACTACAGCGGGAGTATGATGCGCACTCGTCAGAATATGTGGAAGAATACCACCCTATAACCTCTATAGATCAGAAAAGATACGAATCTCCTCCGCCGCCACTGGAGCTCGCAAGGAGAAATACCGCCCTGGATTCAGTAACGGCGCGTACAGCCACACCACCGAGCACTGCTGCTAGCCCTCCCCCTCCGAGTAGATCGTCGGAGGGCACAAGGTCATCAGAGAGAAGCAGGACTGGGTCGAGAGCTCGAAGCACGCGAGAAGGTGGGAAATTAAGAAGTGTAGGAGCCGAGCTGAGGAAGTTCTTAACTGGACGATGACGATGCTTTGGTAACATGGAGCTGTAGGAACATTGGAATTGGAATTGACTTTGAACTTCAGCACCCCTAATAGCACGTTTAAGATTATACTTTACTTGAGCAGCATTAGATCGAACGAGATTCGTCAACCAGTTGTCGTCATCTCACTAGAGCAGACTCGTCCGCCTTTGGTCAAGTTGAGCTATCCCTTTGCATGCTGTGAAGTACGGATCTAGTATAGCACAACATGATATGCTCCGAAATGCGGACGAAGCTATGCGGGGGATGCACAGAGAAGGCAGTGCCGATCCCGGATAATGACCGGGAAAAGGACCTACTGCTGAGACCTTGGTTGGTTAATTACGTACTCGAGCAGCTTTGACAGCAAGAATAGCCCTAACTGTGCTGTTGGTCGACCACAAAAAAAACCCAGCGAATATGACGAAATTAAGCGAGCATCCGGCTGCACGAAAATTTTGCTCTCCCACGGGCTCACTAGCGGGCGCTGGTTTCGAGACAGGTAATTTCAGGAGGCTGCATTGGTCAGAGAATACTACCCAGGCCGGCAGAGACGTGCGAGTGCATGTGAAGCCTGTGCGCCTCGACGGAGAGTGAGGCAGAGGGCGATGCGATGGTGGCAGGCAGGGAGTCGAGGCCACACCGTGTGACACACTGTATTCTGGCCATCGGCCATGGTTTAGCAATTAAACCCTGAACGAAGCTTGCACAGTACCCGTTGTGAAATCTTCCTTGGAGGTTGGACGTGCCGGTTTGGCGAGGCTAATTCAATAGGAGGCGCTTCCCTGGCCAGCTAGTAAGCAGCGAGAAATGACACAAAGCGGCGATGATCGCGGCATGTGCAGTTGTTCAACACAGCAGTCATGGTGACGCCCTCACCCATGCAAAGGGCAAGGTGCCACGGTGCGGACACAGTGCCGCATGCAAGATCCGGCCCTGCTGCTGGGGGTCAACCCCTCTAAAACGCTGGAAATCAGGCATCCGATGTGCAAAACAGGCCCCATAAGCCAGTGCACGCAGGTGCTCTGAGCCCTTGGTGCCGCAGGCATTCCGGCACTGGCTCCAGCGCCGTCTGCCACCATCCCCACTCCCCCAGCCTGCTGCCCCCCAGTAGGTGCGACTCTCTACCCTCGAAACTGCATCACAGCTTTCTGCTTCCCCCGGCGGTTCAAACCCTCTTTCCCTCATCCACGGGTCATGCGACGTTGACGCTACGTCTTTCTTCCTCTCCACCTCCCGAAGCTGCTGCAAGCGCTTTTCTTCACTGTCGCCAATTCATCCTTTTCGCCTTGAAAGAAGGCGATAAGCCAGGCGGCCAAGATGTCGGTCGCCTCTAAGGTGCGTTTGTTCTTGCTCTAGTATTTTTTTTTTTGTGTGTGCCCTCCATATCATCACCTCAGCACCATTTTGGTGGCCCGTTGCCTCGAGGTGCCGTGCCACGAATTCGACCATGCAATTGCGACCGCCAACGGGCGCTGCGAATTTGCTGCTTCCTTTCTTGCCTCATGAAATATTTCCTCTCCCATCGGGGTATTTTACAAATTATGGAGGGGAACCCTGGCTGACCTGTGCCCGCAGAACCTGTTTGCCTACCTCGGTACGATGCTCTTCTCATGATCCTTCCGCCCTTCCCCCCTTTGCGAAGCGGTTACCTCTGATGGCCACCTTGAGCGATGAACATCGAGGGTTTGATTGCACCCTCGTTGCTTGTCGTGTCATCGGCGGACCGTTATGTGATGGGTAGATGCGGGGAGGGGGGCCGCGGATGGATATGACAGTGTATACTTGGGCAACAACGCTAACAAACATGCTTCTGGGCGTTTAGGCAACGACGACGATGGCGAGGAGAAGATCCCCGTCCCCGTGAAGACCGTCGATAAGCAGAACCCTCGCACTGCTAAGCGCAACGTTGAGCCCCAGCCTCCCACTCGCGGTCCTGGTGGCAACCGCCGTGGAGGTCCTGGCGGCAGCGAAGGTGGTGAGTTTATATATATCCCTCTTACCCCTCCTAGGGGCGGCTTGGCCTTGGCCGTGCTCCCAGTTCCAATTGAACCTCTGGCTAACCTGTCCCTCTCATGGTTTCAGCCTTCCGTGATCGTGGTGCTGGCTCTGAACGCAACCACGGCCGCTCCACAGAGGAGCAGTCTGGTCCCCGAGGACCCCGAGGCGGTGCCGGTGCCCGTGTCCGTGGTGGTAAGTTCCAATGTTGCTATCAAAGTACATGTGATGTGCGCCTGCACATCGTCCGTTGTTGGCGTAAGCCCCCCTTGGAGCCTAAATGTCTAACATGATTGTTTAACAGGCCGTGGCTCCCGTCGCCCCCGTGACAGCGATGACCGTCACACCAAGTCCGCTACCCAGGGGTAATTATTCTTTCCATTCCAGATATTGACCTTGATCCGTCGAGCTAACTGTGTATCATAGTGGCTCCGATAAGCAGGCCGCCGCCTCTTGGGGCGCTGCTGAGGGCGATGCCGAGCTGAAGGACGAGCAAGCCGGTGATGCCATCGCTAAGAGCGAGCAGAAGGATGCCGCTGCTGAGGACGCTGCCGAAGAGCCCGCCGAGCCTGAGGACAAGTCCGTCTCCTACGCCGAGTACCTCGCTCAACAAGCCGAGAAGAAGCTCAGCCTCGAGGACTCCCTTAACATTCGCGAGGCCAACGAGGGTAGCAAGCTCGACAAGAAGTGGCAGAACGCCAAGCCTCTCGAGAACCACGAGGAGGAGTACCACGCTGGTGGCCACGGTAAGAAGCAGCGCGAGCGTGAGCGCAAGGTCAAGCAGACCGTTGACTTCGACCCCCGCTTTGTCGAGCCCGAGCGCACTGGTCGTGGTGGCGCCCGTGGCGGCCGTGGTGGTGGCCGTGGCCGTGGCGACCGTGGTGACCGTGGCGAGGGACGTGGTGGACGTGGAGGCAACTTCCGTGGCGGCCGCGGCGGCCGTGATGCTCCTGCTGCCTCCATCAACACTAAGGATGAGTCTGCCTTCCCCAGCCTCGGCAAATAAATGCCGCCCGGCATATCTCACACGTCGGATGTGAGTGCAACCCCTTTACGATCTCGCCGTCATCTGGGTGCGTCTAGGAATAGGATAGGGGGTTTGCCCAGGACATCTAAACCATAAATTCCCTCTGGTTTAGGATTGTTCGATGAATGTCAAAAAAAGAATTTACTGTTTGGAACTCGCAAAGATTGAAGAAAAGTGAAAAAAAGGGACCAAAAAATATAACTGAACGCAACGAAATACGCTGACCATAGGGTTTGTCTTTGCTGGTTCATTGGGCTGTGCTTGGGCGGTTATCTGGGAAGGGGGAGCCTTAGGAACAATTTCATTATATCTGTTTTCCCTTATTACTCCACTTGCTGATGCTCGCTCCCCTTGCTTGCCCAGGTCTTCTATAGGTATATGAAAAGAACTTTTTTCTATTTTACCTCTTTCTGGCTACCGTGTAGAGATGCTACTAAAGTGACTCATCCCGTCGTGGTACATGATGTTGTAGTGTGTTAGATCTCGAGTCGTCTTCGTGTTTGGGCATCTTGGATGTTTGCTCTTATGCTTGGAAGCTCGACGGGTGATACATTGTTACTTGCGGTATACATTTTTGCTATCAGAGCACATATCGGTCACACGGCAGTGGAACTTACACATGTCCATGCCCATGCCGAGGGAAATGCGAATCACCTTTTCCTGTTTCAAGAGGCTTTAGTCTCCCTTTCTTACTACCTTTTCCAACCCTACATATGTCTGAATTTCATCTTTTTTATTTTCATTTTTACTTTTTTACTTTCTACGCCTTGAGGATGCTCGTCGGCTGCTTGGCCATCTCGTCGCCGACGTCGACGGTCTTGGCCTCCTCGGTCTTTCATCAAGGGTTGTGAATGCAACAAGCAACTACGAGGAAACAGACTTACCGTGGATAGGCTCTCAGATACCGTTATGCTTGCCCTTTCCGCCGGGGATGACGCTGGCCCTCGTTGCTGGTGATGTTTCCTGGGCAGGTTGCTTGTGACGACGACGGCCGTTGAGGTTCTTTACCATGATCACGGCGGCGCTGTCGACGAGTTGGTGCTCGACCGTGAGACCCGGGAAACTCATCGCTTAAACATCTCGGTCATGACATTGAGCCACGCCCGCTTAGCTGGTGGCTGGGACGCTTGCCTTGTCGAGGGACTGGACTTTGGTCTCGCCGAGGTAGATGCTGCCAGTGAGCTCGCGGACGATGACGAAGTCGGTGCCCCAGCAGGCCCTGGCTTGAAGGGGGGTAAGTAGTCGACGAGGGCGTCGGGGGCAAAGGAGCACGAGGGG